TGTTGATTGTGGATCCAAGTAAAATGAAATCCTTGACAACTTCAGTCTTTTCTCCATTTATCATGATGTTGCTTGTTGGTCCAGTTGTGAGGATTTTTGTTTTCTTTATGTTGAGGTGTAACCCATACCGAAGGCCATATAGTCTTTGATCTTCAGTAATTGCTTCAACTCTTCTTCACTTTCAGCAAGCAAGGTTGTGTCATCTGCATATCCCAGGTTCATTAGTCTTCCTCCAATCGTGATGCCACCTTCTTCATACAGTCCACCTTCTTGGATTATTTGCTCAGCATATAACCTGTTGCCATCGAGTCAGTTCCAACTCATAGCGACTCTTTAAGGACAAAGTAGAACCTGCCCCATGGGGTTTCCAAGGAGAGGCTGGTGGATTCAAACTGCCGACCTTTTGGTTAGCACCTGTAGCTCTTAACCACTGTGCCACCAGGGCTCCAGCATATAGATTGAATAAATATGGTGAAAGGATGTAACCCTGATGCACACCTTTCCCTAATTATAATAAATTAGGGTAATGCATATATAGACTTACTGTGTAATAAGCAGTAAATAGTGAAAAGGTCCATTCCCAGTGAGCCAGCAGTTCTACTTCTTAGTGTTGACTGTAGAGCAGTGGTTCTCAGCCCAGGGGGATTTTGCCAAAGGACACCTGGCAGTGTCTGGAAACATTTTTGATGGGGAGGGTACTACTGGCATCTAGTAGATAGAGGCCAGGGATGCTCGCCTACAATGTACAGGACAAGCCCCCCACAACAGACGTCCCTGGTCCAAAATGTCAGGAGGGTCAAGGCTGAGAAAACTGGTTCTAGGGAAGTGGTGGTCTTTTGTGTTATACTTAACAGTAATCTGTAAAATTTCCATAATTGAAGCTTTCATCGTAAATTTTTAAATAGTTGAGAAAGGTGTAACATAAGTAAATTATTCAAATTTACACTGTTCCTTTTTCTCCTTGAAACTGTTCGTTATATTTCCCCCACAAAATTGTATCCTAATAAATTTTTATGATTGAAAGTCTTATTGATCATTCTTTCATTCTTTGTATGTAAATTGAAATGTTCTTTGCCATTAAATGTTCATGTTTTTTCTGAATTGAGTTATTTAAGGTACTGCTTGTTGAGCCAAAAACAGTTGACCCAAAAAACAAATTGTATACATTGATAAGTAAACTTGTATAATTTAATTGGAAATGTACTTCTTAATGGGTTGGGGTGGGGTGGGGGCACATTAAAGGAGGCGTCACTGGCCAGTATTTCAAATTGTCTTCTTTGGTTTCCCAAAGATTTTTAAACAGGGCAATGGACCAATAGATCCCCGTGGGGTGAGAGATACCCATTGAGAAATCTGAGAAGGGAAGGGTGGGAAAGGAGAACAGGCTTGATACACTGATTGGCTTGTGTACACAGGCAAGTCAGTTTTATGAAAGCGCTTATATGGAACTTGATCTAAAAAGCAGTTCTTGAATTATCCATGCCACGTTCTTTGGGTACCCTTGGGGGTAAAAGATGGCTACTTAAGAAGAACTACTGCACTGTGCTGAAAAAGACACAAGGATGTTCACCTTAGCATTATTACAGCAAACAAATATATAAATGTCCATCAGAAAGAATATAGGATAAATAAGATGAATATTCTTTTGGTGGAATACTATGTAGCAGTTAAGCAAGTTGCAAAACAACTTGCATTTTAGAACAAAATACTGTGTTCATGAATATGCATATATGTATGAAAAAAAGAACACCTTTAAATACATCATGCTGGGGTGGGAGGTGTAGGGCAAGGAGGGTTGTGTGTAGAAAGAAGGCAAATGAAAATAAACAGGACATTGCCTTTTTTCTTTTTTAATGTTAATTGTCAATTCAAGATGGTGAGTATACAATGTGTTAATTTTTTTTTTAATCTCCCCAAAGTCTATGTAAAACTGAAATAGTGTTTGGGAAAATACTTTGATTAGTGGTGAAAGGAAGGCAAGTATTGATTAATGAAAGGCAAAGTGCAGTGAGCAGCCATACTCAAATTCTGCCTTCCAAAAATGGTCTAAGAAATCCATTTCTGCCATCAGAACCTGTCGTTGTCTTTAATATCTTTGTGTCAACACTCCTGAGCTCCTTTACAGTTCTTTTTTAGCCAGGGCCGTGACTGGAGTCCCTGGGGTAGGTTAAGGAGTAGTGTCCAAAATCTAAGCCTTTTCTGGCTTTAAGAAGTATCTTTGTCTAGATGCTGAGGTTATACAAAGTTCTTTAACCTGAAGTAAACATTTTCCTTTTAAACTGTCAGTATTACAGACCCAAATACCATTGTTCATTAATTTTTATTCAAACACAATGTATTTGGATGCTGAAACAGATTGTAACAATTTATTTAGAAAATACCTATTAAATAAGAGATCATCCAACAGTGGACATTTATTTTTGGATTGCAGAACTTGAATACATCTTGCAGTGACACTTTCACTTGGGTATCACTTGATCAGAAAAGTACTCGTCCCAGTTCGAACATTACCTTCACGTAATAAAAAATGAAAAAGATTTTCATGGCAAACAAATTATTAGTACAAATGAAATGACTTTTCCAAGATTGTAAGTGATAAAAAATGCTCCTAAAATAAGAGGAAATATTTGCCCTTCCCAGATGGCGAGCTGCAGGTCTGAGGCATAGTTAGTTGATGCTGGGCTATATATTATAAATTTATAGCTAGAGCCTTTTCCAAATGCTATCTTCAGAAATCTGGAACTTCTTTCAGAAATTACATTTAGTGCATTTATGAGACAATACCAGTCAGTCATCTGAAACTTCACCTCACCTCCAGACAGCCTATTTAGTAGTTAGAAACAAAATGATCCTGTTACTTCTGCTACAATTTTCTATCTCAAATTCATTATTACCACAGCATCTATTTTAGACAGGCAGTGACTGAGGGGAAAGTATCCCTCTTACCTCTATAGTGATGAGGATGACGATCATCCACTCCAGGCGGAGGGCCCTCTTTTCATTCAGGTGGTTCCGCATTAGATCTGTCAGTTCCATGCAGTGTTGAAGCTTTTCATTCATGACCTGTGTAAGAAAAATCATAGAAAGCTCCTGTGTGTATATCTTAAATTTTTAAATTAAAGTCATATCAGAATTCTGAAGGTTTTAAACCAGGTATACAGTGAAAAATCATCCTTCAACTCTTGCCCCCAAGTCCTCAAAGCAGCCAATGTTATGGGGATCCATCCGGAGACATTTTATAATGCACAGGTTTAATTGCAAGAAATACTCTGCATTCAATAAAGCTCTTGTATTTGTAAGATTTTGAGTTCTAGTTTTTCACAGCTGACCTTGAGTTTTTAGCAGTTAAAATAGGCAGACTTGAAATAATTCTTAGAGCATGTCTTAAGAGTTAACAATAGCAACTATTGGTTGGTTTTTGGAAAGATGACAAAAACGACTACCTTCTACTAAAAAAGCTAAAAAAAAGTAAAGCCCCACTGTCAAAAACCTCCACTTAACCATTTGCCCTGTTGCACACTCACCACTAGATGGCACTGCTTTAAATTCTGAACTTCAAGGATTTTGTTAAACCTCACAAGCTGAAGGGGTTCAGAGAAAATAGGATCTTTGAATTTAAAAACTTAGATGACAAGTTATACCTCCTTAATCTCTCCACATTTCACTTTCCTCTGTAAACAAAAAAAATAGTTTGATTGCCCCGATTACTTCTAGGGTATGCTAAAGGTTCAAGTTTAGTTGGTGGAGATTGGAGACAAGCCATCAGAGGCAGTGCGTCAGAGGTGCGCATGCAGGGCAGACTGTGTGAGCGCACAGAGCAGTAAACTGCCTTACGCATGAGGGGAACACGTGGAGCCACAGTGACAACAACATCCATTCACTTACATTTCCAGACTTGCTGGCGACGCCGATGCCGACGTACTTAGTCTGTATAAAGGTTTAGAACACCACCTCTTTCTGTCCTCCCTCTCCTGCTTTTTCCCCTCTTCCTTCCCTCCTCCCTTTTTTGTAACCTGTTGGCTGCTTGACCTTGGTCTATAAAGCTTTAAGCTTGCTTTTCAAATTACTGACCTACCACTCTTCCATTCACTTTCAACCTTGACTAAAAAATAGACAACAGTTTCTTCTGCCACTTCGTCACCCAGTTTATTCCTTAACCCTTTAGAAGTTGTACGTATTACACAACTCCCCTGAAACTCCCCAAAGCCAAGCATTTGACAAGACCTTGAATACGCACTTCCTGTGGCTTTTCCTTCCCTAAGAACGAAGCGTTCTACCTCTGACCATCATTCTCTTTACCTCCTCTTGTCTTTCGGTGACGTTTCCCAAACGCCTGGCCTTGTCCCTCTTTTCCTCTAGCTCTGCGCTCCCCTTGCATGATTTCATCCCACTTGTCTGATTTATGTAGGTGCTTCCTAAACTTGAGTCTTCTGCATCCCACCATCACCATTTCAGTAATACAAGGACATCAGTTGTTTATTATTTAATTTCCAAAAGACTTTACTTATCAATGCTTATTTTAAAAGGAAACTGTCACTGCCACACATGGAAAAGCAGTATGATGTGAACAGTGCTGCCTGTACAAAGCTGGGCCTGACAGCTGCTGAAGGGAGAGCCGCAGACACCAGAGGCTGTGCCAGTCAAGGCAAGAGATGTCCGCTGCCTCGGTGCTTCAGTGTCATTTAATTTCAGGTCTACCTATCACCTGAATTCACCTCGGGTATGTGTGTATGTCTCCCACATTTTGGGAAAGACTGATTTAAACTGTTTTATCAGTTTTGACAGGTCACAAATACAAATAAACGCCTAATCCTGATCCTCCCTCTGACTGAATTTCTCACCGCCTGTAAAACATCTCCTGGGTTTCCTACCAGCACCTCAAGTTCAACTTTTCACAAATGAAAGCGGACATCCTGTTCAAGCCTATCCCTCTTCTTGAGTTCCCTATGTCAAGTCAGGTCACACTCTTCTTAGCCACCAGGGATAGGAGCATTTGATCTCTAACCCCCACTCCAGCCATTCTGCAGTCAGGTAGGTGAGGCTAGGCGATTCTGCCATTAACTGAAACAGAATACAGGAAGTTTAAGATTTTATGGGAGAATACAATGAGCTTCATTTTGGAATCTCAATCATTGATTAATTCTACAAATATTTATTGAACACATACTATATATGCTAGGTGTTTGCCAGGAACTAGGAATACAGCAGGGAAGAAAATAATCACAGTTTCTGATCTCATGGAGCTTACATTCTAAAGGGATTGACCACAAGCAATTCTAAAAAGTATGCTATCAGATATAAAATCTGGAAGATCTGTGAGATTTGGTAAACTGGAAACATCTGGAAGACTGGGGTAAAGGAGTTAGTTGTACTCTTAAGTAAGGTGGACTTTGTTCTTGGTCATGGAGAAATAACCTTTGATGTAATTGGACTGCTTTGGTCTGGGGCTTCCACACCACACCTGATAATCTGCTGGTAAGTAGGGGCTGGCCAGACCAGAAAAGACTCACTGCAAGGTGGATATCAACTAGGCTCAGGAGGAATGATTTAGCCTATCATGCAGGACTGGCCGATAAAAGCCCTGAACACTGAGGCTCAGAGAGCTTCCTGGTTGGCAAGAACATCTGCTCTCAGGAGGGTACACATCCCTTGGGATATGGAAACACCATGTTTGAAACTCTCCCAGACCTTGCCCTAGGTGTCTCTTCATTCGTATCGTTTTGGGCTATAATAAATCTGTAGTCATAAATATGGTATACTCTCTGAATTGTGAGTCATTTCAGCAAATCATCGAACCCAAAGGGGCAGTGGGAGCCAGTAGGTCAGAAAGTAAGGGTGTTGTGTAGACTTTCGAGCTTATGGCTGGCATACTGAAGGGGTAGTGGGAAGCCAGCCCCAAATTCGTGGCTTCAGGTCAGAAGGATAGGGTATTGTGTGGACTCCCCAAACCTGTGGCTGGCATTTGCCTGTTTAGCAGTCTGAAGGATGGTATTCTTTTAATTTGCCAGCTCTGATCTAGGGTCAGAGAGACAGAGTGTCATGGGGGGACAGGCACGGCTGGCGATGAGGATGATAAAAGTGGGAGTAGATGAACCATCTCATAACATGGATGAAACTGGAGGACATCATGCTGAGTGAAATAAGTCAATCACAAAACGACAAATATTGTATGAGACCTCTATTGTAAAAACCCATGAAAAAGTTCACACACAAAATGTAACAATCTTTGCTGGTTACCAGGGATGGGAGGGGTGGGGGGGAAATACTAAACAGACAATAGATTAGTGGTATCTTGGGTGAAGGGTGAGACAGTACACAATACAGGGGAAACTAGCACAACTTGTACAAGGAAAGGTCATGGAAGCCCCACAGACACATCCAAACTCTCTGAGGGACTGAATTGCTGGGTGGAGGGCTGTGGGGACCATGGTCTCTAGGAACATCTAGCTCAATTGGCATGACATAGCTTATAAAGACAATGCTCTACATTCTACCTTGGTGAGTAGTGTCTGGGGTCTTAAAAGCCTGTGAGCGGCCATCTAAGATACTCCACTGGTCTCATCCCTTCAGGAGCAAGGGAGAGTGAAGAAAACAGGATACAAGGAAAAGATTAGTCCAAAGGACTAATTGTCCACAGCTACCAAGGCCTCCACTGGACTGAGTCCAGTACAGCTAGATGGTGGCCAGCTACCACCACTGACTGCTCTGACCAGGATCACAACAGAGAGTTCTGGACAGAGCTGGAGAAGGATGTAGAACATAATTCTAACAAAAAAAAGACCAGATTTACTGGCCTAAAGGAGACTGGAGAAACCCTGACAGTATGGCCCCAGACACCCTTTTAGCTCAGTGGTGAAGTTATCTCCAAGGTTCACCGTTCAGCCTGGGAGTGGACAGCCCCGTAAAACCAAATGAGACTAACAAGGTACAGGAGTCCAGTGACAAGGGCCAGAAGGCAGAAGGGGACAAGGAAGCTGGTGATAGGGAACCCAAGGCTGAGTAAGGATATTGTTGATGTGTTGTGAGATTGTTAACCATTGTCATAGGGCAACATTTGTAGTAACTGTTAAATGAGAAACTATTTTGTTCTGTAAGCCTTCAACTTAAGTGAGAATAACAGCATAATTGGAAGAGTGTAGTCAATGTCACTGAACTGTGCATGTAGAAATTTTTGAAATGGTGTATCTTTGGCTATGTGTATTTTCACCAAAAAAAAAGTTGAGAAGTTAGAGGGTTGACATGTTGTGGGGTTGTTAACCAATGTCATAAAACAATATGTGTACTACTGTTTCATGAGAAACGATTTGTTCTGTAAGCCTTCACCTGAAGTACAATAAAAAAAAAAAGGAGTAGAAGTCATGGAAATGAACAAGACTGCTTATGGAGTAGGCAGCATGAAGAGAGAAGAGAACCAGTGACAGAACCTTGGAGCACACCAGCTTTGAAGATGGAGCGAGGGACCCAGGCATACTGCTTTCTCTCCCCGTTACACTTACATAACTGCTCAGAAATCTTTTTCAGTGCCCTTCTAGTCATCAAATGAAATGATTTTACCTCTGCCCTGGTCTTTTTCCAATGGCATTTCAGTACATCTCATGCCTAACCCTCTATTTTCTCAAGATTCTTTCCTCATCTGGAGGAAAAACAAAAAAACAAAACAAGGAACAACTTTTGCCTAGTGCTACCAGCCCCTTTCTTTGTTCTGTATGTCTTCTTGTCATAGGGTAAAGCTTGCTTAAGACTGGAACTAATTTTTATTTTCCTTTTGTATTATCTATAGTGCCAGATTGTGTTGAGCACAATAAGTCTGACTAAAATCCTTAACAGCTTCTAAATAATCTTTACATAATCTAACTAGTCTTAACTGCCTTTGGGAAACTGAGAAAACACTTTGAGAAACGTAGTTTGGGAACTTTTAGGCTTGTTTCATAACTCAGATGGAAGACTTAATACCAAAGAGATGTCTCAGAGTGAGGCTGGGGGATAGAAGAAGGACAATTAGTTGTAGTAACAGAATCAAGCCAAGTAGATGACAATAGGGCATTTCTGATACTGGGAAGGAATTCCTGGGTAATGCAAATGGCTAACGTGCTCATTTGCTAACCAAAAGGTTGGCGGTTTGAGTCCATCCAAAGGCACCACAGAAGAAAGGCCTGGCGATCTACTTCTGAAAAATCAGCCAGTGAAAACCCTATGGAGCACAGTTCTATTGGGACACGTGAGGTTGCCATGAGTTATAATCAACTCAATAGCAACTGATTTTGTTTTGTTTTTATATTGGGAAGACAAATTCCATGGAATAATGAGAGTTCCATGAACTTTTTCAGATGTCAAAAGAATTTACACAATCAAATATTTTAGTTGTTTTATGAGTCTTCAGAAACATAATTTACAAATATGTTATAAAAAGTGAAATATAGTGCAAATGCACGTGGTTGTCATGCTTAAGGCAGGCAGGCACGGATCTCTCGTAGGTACCTATTCACATACCTGACCCTCCAGGCCCATGAGGCCCATCATACCTTTTGTCTGTGTACTCTACCTTATATCTAGGAGGAAAGCATCTTCTTTCACTACTGTGTTTTAAGGAAGGAGAGGGGGGGATCCCAAGAGTGCAGTTTCAATTCCATAACACCCTTTTTTCCCCTAACATATTGCTACTTCTACTTTTAGCTATCCTGTCCCAGTTCCTAACACAGAATCCATTAAACATATAGAAGAAATAATTTGATTTATAAAGATACTTTAAAGGAATCTTGAATTCAGCCCTAGAGAAAAAGTGGATTTTCAGGGACTGTTGGATATTCCTAAATTTAAATTTAAGGTATGAAAGGTAAATCAGATTTAGTTTTAAGAACCTATAGTTTACGGTGACCATCTTCACGGATAAGCTACAACTGAATTTCTCAAGAAAAATATTTTCTTAATTGAAAAAAATATTCTCAAATGTCTTTAGAACATCATTTAGAGCTTTTGGATGGTATCTCATAACCATAAGCCCTAAAAGAATAGGTGAAAATTTTCTAGAAACAGAAAGGAAGAATAAAAAAAAAATCTTAGAACATCAGAAAGGCAAAAAAGAACAATAATAAAAATATGGGCAAATATGAAAGACTTCCCTTCTCCTTTTCTGATTTCTAAATGGATGGCTGAAGCAAAAATTCTAACACTGATGTAGTTCTCAGTGTCTGCAGAGGAAATATTTAACACAATTATAAATGGGGGAAATGTAAAGCAAATGTAAATGTAAAGGGATATAAAGGGAAGCAGGTTTCTACACTTCATTTAATCTGGTAAAATGTCCAACCAGGAGACTTTGATAAATTACTGAATCACACTAAACAGCTATGCAAAGAGATACACTCAAATACAATATAGATAAAACAGAATTCAAAAAAATGTTTAAGTAACCCACTGGAAGGCAGGAACTGATACATGCAACAACTTGGATGACTCTCAAGGGCATTAAGCTGTGGGGAGAAAAGCTAATCTCAAATCACACACCATATGATTCTGTTTATATAACATTCTCAAAGTGACAAAAGTATAGAGCTGGAGAATAGATTATCCATTGCCAGGGGTTAGGAATGGTAGAGGAGGGAGGTCAACATCACTATAAAAGGGTCTCATAAGCGGGATCTCTTCTGTATTTCAGTAGTGTGGTTACACAAACCAACAATTAGATAATTACATGAATCTACACCTGTCTCTCCTCATGTGGTCTACTGGTCTACCTCCATCATTACCACCTCCATCACTGTTATTGTTGTTAGGTGCCGTCAAGTTGATTCTGACTCATAGTGACCCTATGAAGAACAGAAGGAAACACTGCCTGGTCCTGTGCCATCCTTACAAACATTTCTGTGCTTGAGTCCATCATTGCAGCCACTGTGTCAATCCATCTCATTGAGGGTCTTCCTCTTTTTTGCTGACCTTCTACTTGGAAATGCTGGTGGGATAGTGGTTAAGTGCTACAGCTGCTAACCAAAAGGTCGGCAGTTCAAATCCACCAGGTGCTCCTTGGAAACTCTATGGGGCAGTTCAACTCTGTCCTATAGGGTCACTATGAGTCGCAATTGACTCTATGGCAATGGGTTTTTTTGGTTTATACAGGATAAGAAGAGGAAAGGTTAATCTAAAGAGCACTGATGAGAAGTCAAATAAGGTTATTTCTCCAAGAGCAGCTAAACATATTTACTTAAATTTAAAATATTTATCTTCACTGTTATACACATTATAGACAACACGTTCTTTCTCTCTCAGTAAAAGTGCAAAATACATACCTTAACTCTACGAGTAATGCTGAGGAACTGGCAGGTCTTATCATAAAGTTCTTCCAGGTTTTCTCTGTCCCAGTAGAAATCAGGAGTGATCAAGAAGTCTGAACTCAAATTTATACGATGTCTTAAAGAAAAGGAAAAAAATAACTTATTTTTAGTTTGAGTTAAAAAAAATCATTATTTCTATCATATTTCATATTTACGTGGTGGTTTACAAAAACATATTTTTTAATGCTGACCTCTGTAATACTTCTGAGAAGCATGTAAAGAAGAAAATTTATAACAGAATCTCAAAATTCTCAAATTAATTCAATCTAGAATACCAATATTGTCTATGAGGTAGATACGGGAAAAGAAAAACCCTCCGTTTTGTTTTCAATTTCTAAGCTTGTTTCTTTTTTCGTTAATCAATTTGATGATAGACACACGTTTTGGAAGGACAGGTAATATGATCACATGCCTTAAAAATCAAAATGATACAAAAAAGGTAAAAATGGACCAGTCTTTCTTACACTCCTATCCCTATCTCCCCTTTTCTCTCCCCCATAACCATCTGTTATTAGTTTCTTCGGTATCCCTTCAGTGTTTCTTTATGCAAATAATAGATAAGCAAATACACATGCACACATACATTCTTAATTTCTACCATTTTTATACAAGAGGTCTATACTTACTTTTAGAAAATTTAATAAAAATTTAAGTTGCAAAAATAACACATGAATAGCTTGTTCACTATAAAAAAGAAAATGCAAGAGAGGAGAATTCATAAAAACAGTGGCAGGCCCTCTTACCCTACCACAGAACTCAAATCCCTTATTCTCCCCAAGGGTAGACTCTAGATAGTTTGGTGTGTCCTTCTAGATATTTTCCTATGAATATATGCTGTATGTGTGCACACATGCACATGGAAGTGTATGCAAACACACGTGTGTACACACCCAAATGTATATATACGTATCAAAATAGGAATGTTTGTTTATGCAAATAAGATCGTACCATATGTAATTTCAGACTTAATTTTGCACCCGATATAACTTGCTGTTTCTATTTACAGATTCACCACATTTATTTTCATAACACACAAGCACTTTTATTGTAAAGGTAAGAAAACGTGGTTAGAGAAGTAGGCCTTTATAAAAACTATTCACCAGCTGATGTCTCTTTACTAATCCTAACCTCCTGAGTTTTGAGGAAACCCTGGTGGTGTAGTGGTTAAGAGCTACATGCTGCTAACCAAAAGGTCAACAGTTTGAATCCACCAGCCAGCTGCTTCTTGGAAACCCTATGGGGCAGTTCTACTCTGTCCTTTAGGGTTGCTATGAGTCGGAATTGACTCAATGGCAACAGGTTGGGTTTTTTTTTTTTTTTAAATATCCAATTCTGCCTGCATTACACCTAGGGAAGAGACAAGGGTGTCCCCACCCTATTTCTCAGAGAACTCAAGGCGTTAGTTTCTGGGAACAGAGAAACTGTGGGGTCCTCCTGAAGAATGGGTTGTTTATTTTGGTTGGTACCCTATGAAGGCCCCTGAGCTGTGAGAAATGCGTAGATGCTGAAACACTGGACACTTCTCTCCAGGTAAAGTATTTGAGGAGAATGTGGAAAAACAACTCTTAGGTCACTGGTTTACAGTTAATTCTGATAATTCATGTCATACACGAGAAGAGACGAAACATTGAGCAGCGCTGCCACGTAAGAATAATACCAATACTCAGGACGCCTGTCATTCCATACATCCTGGGGAGATTACTGGAATACACTGAAAACTTGCTGAGATATTTATCTTAAAAGATGCCTTAGTGTATTTTCTCAAATCTAAGACACAGTTCTTCACATTTTAACATCTCCGAAAACGGGAGGCATCTTAAAGTTGAGGGTGTCTTAGATGTGGCAGTTGTGATTTATTCGTTATTATGGATTGAACTGTGTCCTCCAAAAAGCTATGCTGAAGTCCTAACCCCTGCACTGCTGAATGTCACTTGTTTGGGGAGATAGGGTTTTCCTTTGCAGATGTTATCATATTAAAGTAAATGAGGTCATAGCCCAATAGGGTGGGTCTTAATCCTAATCCCTTCTGAGTGGCTTCTTATAAAAGAGGACAGACAGGGAGACAGAGTCACACACACAGAAGGGAGACAACGTGTGAGGATTTGTCTATAAGCCAAGGAATGCTGAGAAGTGCCCGGGGCTAGCAGAAACTGAAGGAGACAAGGGACGATCTTCCCCTAGAGCAGACAGAGAACACAGCCCTGCTGGCGCCTTGAGTCCAACTTCTAGCCTCCAGAACTAGGAGAAAAGAAATTTGTTCTTTAAAGCCACCCACTTTGTGGTATTTTGTCATGGTAGCCCCAGGAAACTAAGACGGTTGTCACTGCCTTAACCAATTTATTTCCCTTATGCTCTCCTTGTTATGTATGCCGAAGAGGAAATGGGATGGAATCTATATCTGAGTAAGACTAAAAGAGCTGTTTCAATAACTGTAAAATTTAAACTCTGATAAAAAAGCACTAAGGCGTAGTTTAATTGGCAGCATTTTTCCTTTCTTGTAGTATCTTACAGCGTTCTCAGATTCAATGAAATATGGTACATAAGTTTGCTGGAATAACTGTGGTGCAGTGGTTAAGAACTCGGCTGCTAACCAAAAGGTCGGCAGTTCAAATCCACCAGCACTCCTTAGAAACCCTATGGGGCAGTTCTACTCTGTCCTATAGTCAAAATCGACTCAAAGGCAACAGGTTTGTTTAATTTAGCATTATAACGCAGAGATATATTTTTTACTGAGAATTCCCATTAGCCAAGTACTAGAACATACCTTTCTAACATCAAAGAATATCTACTGTGCTTCCTGATATGGGTTTAATGTAGACTAATTATGATCTCTTTTGTAATGCAGTACAGTATTTCCTCCAGTACACTCCTAATAGAGCCCAACTGCTTCTAACAGGCAAGAGTTCTGCCTGCTTATAATCAATGAAGAGAAAAGAGCTGCCATTCCCCTAAAGATACAAATGTTTGCTCTTTACTATAGAGCTAGAGGGATTTTCTCTGGAGATTGCTACACTTATGAAATATTTTCTTTACAGAGAAATTTTACCTTAGGGCAAAGAGTTCACCCATTTTCTGCATAACTTCTTCATGAGATAGCTTCACCTTCTTCCCAGCTTTTAAAGCCTATTTAAAAAACATTTTTTTAAAGAAAATATATCCAATAGGGCCATAAAGCACATTCTGTAGCAGTATATTTTAAATTTTTTTTATTATGCTTTAAGTGAAAGTTTACAATTAAAGTTAGTTTCTCATACAAAAATTTATACACACATTGTTAGGTGACCCTAGTTGTTCTCCCTATACTGTGACAGCACACTCCTCCTTTCCACCCCAGATTTCCCGTGTCCATTCAACGAGCTCCTGACCCTCTCTGCCTTCTCATCTCGCCTCTGGACAGGAGCTGCCCATTTAGTCTCATGTATCTATTTGAGCTAAGAAGCACACTCGTTATGAGTTTCATAGTCCAGTCTAAAGAGTTGGCCTCGGAAATGGTTTCAGTTTTGGGCTAACAGAAGAGTCCAGCGGCCATGTCTTCCGGGGTCCCCCCGGTCTCATTCAAACCATTAAGACTGGTCTTTTTACTAGAATTTGAGTTCTCACCCCACTCTTCTCCTGCTCTGTCAGGGACTCTCTGTTGTGTTTCCTGTCAGGGCAGTCACTGGTAGTAGCCAGGCACCATCTAGTTCTTCTGGTCTCAGGCTGATGGAGTCTCTGGTTTATGTGGCCCTTTCTGTCTCTTGGGCTAATATTTTCCTTGTGTCTTTGGTGTTCTTCATTCTCCTTTGCTCCAGGTAGTTGGGACCAATTGATACATCTTAGATGGCTGCTCCCTAGCTTTTAAGACCCCAGATGCCACTCACCAAAGTGGGATGCAGAACATTTTCTTTATTAATAGCAGGATAATTTTAATTCCATGCAAATAATGTCTCTTGGATGACTGTCTCCCAGGTCCATGTGTTAACTTGCCCTGAGATTTCAAAATCTTCTTAGGTGTTTTATTCTTTTTTTCATTCTTCTTCTCATCAGTGTTTGATATGATATACACTCCTAATCTCTTATCAGAAAAGGAGGGACTCTTTTTTCAAATATAATTAGAATATTTTTTCACAGTAAAAACAAAGTTAATTACAATCAAGATTATTCTTAAAGGATTTTGGAATTTTAATATAACTTCATACGCATTTTTCATGCCACTGTTTTTCTCATAGTTGAGCAAAACAATTTAAAAGCAAGAAACATGGTCATAATCTCCTCAAAGAGAAAATGTTTTACTTTTTTCCCTTTACTTATGTTAAAAATCTCATACTATCAGAGAAAAGTAGTTATTTGGATTCTAACTTCTAAATGTAAAAAAAAAAAAAAATGAGTTCTCTTATTCTATTCTTCTCTTCTTCTTAGCTTTCTAAAATAGGAAATAGAATATTTTATATGTAACGGGGGTTCTTTTTGCTTAATTTCAGTGTAGCTTTCCTAGTGTTTACCATTATTTTGCTGTACTCCTAACTGTATTATTAGACTGAGAAATTTGTATTTTTCCCCAAACAGAAATCAATCTTTGAAAACAGCATTAAATTTATATAATTACCTCTGGAATTGACTGAATAGATTCAATAAATTTATCCAGTGATGCTTCCCAAATAGCTAGTTTCACTGAGAGAAAAAAAAATTGATAATGGAATTTTTATCATCATATTCATATTTATATAAAAACATGTAATTGCATAGTACCTTTACTGCCGTGCCAACAGTAGTTTAAGAGGCAAATGTACTAAAAAGTTAAAGCTGAAATGTAAGAATAGTTAATTATTATTATAAACCAAAAAACCCAAACCTGTTGCTGTCAAGTTGATTCTGACTCATAGTGACCCTACAGGACAGACTAGAACTGCCCCCTAGGGTTTCCAAGGAGCGGATGGTGGATTCAAACTGCCAACCTTTTGGTTAGCAGCCCTGTCTCTTAACCACTGTGCCACCAGGGCTCCATTATTATAAAGGACAGCGCTAAAGTAGAAAAAAATAGAGAAACATGAATACATTTCCAAGCCATGCTGGGAGACCAAAGCTAGGTTTGGCAGGATTCCTGATTTTTTTAATTTTACATCTCAGAAAACCAGGACGTGTAAGGTATATCTTGAAACTACAGGTAGCTCTACAGACAGAACAAGAGAAGGACATCCCGGGCCTCCCCTTCCACAACTCAGGGCTGTGGGGGAAGCTCCGAAGTCTCTGAAGCTCCCTAAGCAGTGGGCCAGGCTGCGTCACCAGCACTTGGTGAAGATACAGAGGCATGAGTAGTTTTGACTCGAGAACTTGGGATGCCCCATTTACAGTTTTACTCAGGTGCACCGTTCTTTCAGAAAAAAATTAGAGCAACGGTGACTCTCTGTTCCATTCCTTCGAAAAACTAGACTCTTTATTTTTCTACACAGAGGCCTGTGCCCAATTATATGGAGCTTGCTAGCAGAAAAGGTTTGAGTCCACCTAGAGGTGCTCTGGAAGAAAGGCTTGGTGATCTATATCCAAAAATCAGCCACTGAAAATCCTATGGTGCACAGTTCTACTCTGACACACATGGGGTCAGCATTAGCCAGAATCAGCTCAAGGGCAACTGTTTTTTGGTACTGGTTTGGGCTTCCTCTATGTGGATTACAGATTAAGAGCAACAATTACATGGAGAGGAGAGGAGAGAAAAACAAAGGTAATAATAATACAAAGAATATTTTTGGAGCAGGTAAGCTTTATCAATACAATGAATAAGGAAGGACTAACTTCAACCTCAGATATTCTGTTTTATACTATAGACTATATATTTTTCTCCTGGAGAAAAAAAAAAAAAAAAAAGAATGCTAAAGTTTTGTGGAGTAGCCTGTGAAAACATTCCAAATTTTCACTAAATCTTTAAATTTCCCCAGATGAAATGAAAACGGTGTAACTTACCTGAAAGGCAAAGAGCATTTGAAAAGGCAAATTTCTCTAGAATGCTGTCATCTAAATCCAGTTCTGAATTTAACTTGATTTCCCCTCTGTGCAGTTTTGACTGCCCCCTGTAGGAGGGAAAACAAAAAGTATCTTCTAAATTTTAAAAAGCACTTCCATTTCTTCTTTTGAAAAAGTCACCTCATAATCTTTCTAGAGATCATTTTGGCAATTTGTATCAAGAGTCTTATAAATGCTCTCATTCCTTCTGGTGCAAGTAATTCCATTTCTAGGAATTTATCCTAAGGAAATAATCAAAGACGCAAACAAACATTTGCATACAAAAAACTTCCTATGGTCATACGTTTAATAGTAAAAAATTAGGAAAGAACTAATATTCAATAGGTGAAAGATTCAATTATAGTATTTCCACATAACACAATCTTAAAAAGCATGCTTTAGAAGGATATTTAATAGAAAGGGAAAATGTTCACAGTAAATTGCTAAGTGAAAAAATGCTGAATATATGACTATGCACAGTGTAATCTAAAATCACTGACATGGCGGTGGTGAGGAGGGAGACTGGGAAATTGTCAAAAACTAAGGTGTCCATGTGGAGAACTTCAGAAAGGACTGGGGACGTGGGGGAAGGGAGGAAATCTGTGAATATAAACGTCACAGGAAAATGGGAAAAACACGGGGAACCTTTGAGAAAGGGAGATGGACAGGAGGCCTGCCCGGAGGGCTGAGAGCCACGATCTGCTCTTACTACTGAGGCAGAGAGAAAAAGAGCAGACAGAAGAGAGCAGAGTTTACCAGACGCTCTGTGAGTGAGCTGGGCCCACACAGAATGGAGCGAGATGGCTGGTCCCTGGAATCACAGGCGGAACCACCATCACAACCGTGACAGGAAGGCAGCAGCTATGATTGTCTTTCTGACAAGAAACCAGACAGCTGACTCTGGGACCCAAGGAGCTGAGGATTTTACTTCTCTACAGACTACAAAGTAGTGTGTGTGGGTGGTGGAGGGCAAGCACCTATTAAGCCATAGCTTGATCTGGAAGTACAACACATTGGAGAATCATGGGAGCTATAACCGCAAGGCTGAGTAGGTCATCATTACTAAAATGAATCAAATTCATTTAGGTCCTCACTTACTGGGTCTCTTTGGCTCACACTCTTGCTTTCTACTGCAACCACTAAGGACCTAGGCCCTTGCTTACTTCTCAGGTGCCCGTAGGCAAGACATTGCTGAACCTCATCTGAAAGCCAACTGACTGCAACAGTATCATAGGTTTTTTGTGAGGATCACATGAAATGGTGCAGGGCAAGCACTTAGAACAGGGCCTAGTACCAGGTGAGAACTAAATTAACAGTGTCCACTGTTATGGGCTGATCTGGATTCCCCAACGATATGCTGAAGTCCCGACCACTGTACCTGTGACGGTGACCTTATTTGGAAATGGCGTCTTTGTAGAAGTAATTAGTTAAATTAACATGAGATTCTGCTGGAATAGGGTAGGCCTTCATCTAATACGTCTAATGTCCTTATAATAAGAGGAGAAGAGATGCAGAGGGGAGATAGCCACATGAAGATGGATGGAATGATGCTGCCAACAGCCAAGGAATGCCCGTGGTCACCAGAAGCTATGAGAGACAAGAAGGATCTGCCTTTACAGAGAGCATGGCCCTACTGACACCTTGATTTTGAACTCCAAACCTCTGAACTGTGAGAGAATGAACTTCCTGTTGTTGGAAGCCACTCAGTTTATGGTGCTTTGTCACAATAGTCCTAGGAGACCAATATGGCTATCATTACGCAGCTGTTATCCTGTCTGGTCATTCTATGGCTAGTGTCTCTTTCAAATTATCCAAAAACTCTGCTTTATCACTTCCTTTCTTAAGAACCTATTTTTTTTCCCCTTAACATTCCACTAGGCAGGTAGCTCTGAAAGGAAAGAGACCTTTCTATCTTGTATATGCTGTCTTCTCCCTCCACCCTCACATCGCTCTATACTGCTGTGGTAAACCATGAGGTAAGCACCATGCTGCATGGTACACAAGGGATGGCTTTGGAATGCGACAGGCTGTCTTAGTTATCTAGTGCTGCTGTAACAGAAATACCACAAGTGGATGTCTTTAACAAAGAGAAATTTGTTCTCTCATAGTCTAGGAGGCTAAAAGTCCTAATTCAGGGTGCCAGCTCCAGGTGAAGGCTTTCTCTCTCTGTCGGCTCTGGGGGAAGGTACTTGTCATCAATCTTGCCTGGTGGAGGAGCTTCTCAGTGCAAGGACCCCAGGTCCAAAGGACGCACTATTCTGCTGGCTCTTGCTTCTTGGTGGTATGAGGTCCCCTGTCTCTCTGCTCGCTTTTCTCTTTTATATCTCAAAAGAAACTCACTCAAGATACAACCTAACTTGTAGATTGAGCCCTGCCTCATTAACATAATTGCCGGTAATTTCGACTCATTAACATCATAGAGGCAGGATTTATAACACATAGGAAAATCACATCAGATAACAAAATGGTGGACAATTACACAATACTGGAAATCACGGACTAGCCAAGTCGACACACATTTTTGGGGGACACAATTCAACCCATAACATGCTATTTTACTGATTTAGGCTGCTTAGAAAACTTACCCTCTTGGGCTTACTGTACTTGTGTTAATTTGTGAGTAGCTTGAGAAGTTAGAAAAAGAATGTTTATCCACGAGTAGTTACTATATTATTTAGGCTTTGCATTTGCACCAGTAACTTTTCCTTAAAACTTGTCTCCAAATTCATAAATAATCTGTCAACTCTACAGCTCTTCCTGGTTTATTCCAAGTGCCTTTTTCAAATACTTGATAAAAAGTTGCTTACTCTGTTTTTATGTAGTTAAGCTCTTCATTTTCCCAGTGTACCAATGCAACTTCATAGGGCTGAATCTCGTGTTTTTCTAGAACTTGCATCACATGCTTCATCTGGAACGAAAGGAAAATTTATCTGAAATTGTAATTGACTCCCTCAGTACAAGTATGTTATAGTGTTAATGATTATAACATTTTTCACTGCATTTAATGACATTTTTTCTATGCTTAGTTTTTAAGAGAAAAAAAGCAAATTTATTGTGATATTCAAATAATCAGCATGACACTTTAATTTGCTTTTAAATGTGGAAAATACAGATGATCATAAAGACAATAAAAATCATCAGTCTCTCACAACCCAAAGAAAATCCCTAATAACACTTTTGTTTATATTCTTTAAGTCTTTTTTTTTTTTAAAGTAAAAGTAGCATACTCGTAAAAATTTAAACAGCACCAAACCGATTGCTACTGAGTCCGATTCTGACTCATAGTGACCCTACAGGACAGAGTAGAACTGTCCCATAGGGTTTCCAAGGCTGCAGTCTTTACGGAGCAGCTTTCTCCCGTGGAGTGGCTGGTGGGTTCGAACCACTGACCTCTCAGTTAGCAGCCGAGCACTTAACGGCTGCACCACCAGGGCTCCTTTTAAAAACCACAGAGTGTGTAGAAAGTGAAGATCTCTGCTTTCCTGATTCTCAGAGGGAACCATCATTAAACTCGATGCATACCCCTCCAGAGTTTTTTTCTGTGTTTATTTTGCTTTTCATATAATGTGGGCTCATACTATGCATATGAACATTTTTCAATGCTATTTCTCTTTAATGAAGGAACCACAATGTGTTTAACCATCCTACATGTCCGTCAGCAGGGGGCTACTTCTACTGTTACACTATTACAATGTTACAATGAACCATCCTTATGCACATGTCTTTGTGGCCTCATGAGACTATTGCTTTAGGAGTTGCTAGATTAAAAGACGTGCATACTTAAAAATTTGATAAATGTTGCTAAATTACTGTCCAAAATAGTTTTTCCAAATTTAGAATCCAAACATCATTTGTGAGAACACTTAAAGAACACTGGGTTATTGTCAGTTTTTTAAATCTTTGCTACTTCAAATAGCCAACTTGTATTTTTTTATTAGTAAAGTTGAATAAAATTTTCTTACATTTATTGGTCATTTATATTTCCTTTTCTCCAAGATTCTCCCCTGCATATGTGTGTGTGTATCACCTTTTAGTAAACCTGGGATTATATGAGACATATTTTTAAACCAGCACTGGTATTATATTGGTTATATTTTGTAATCTGTTCTTTTAATTTAACCATATCACATACACAGGCAATTTCCCAGGAATAAATAGTTTTTCACATGATTTTTAAGAGCTGCAGGATATTCTATTACATGGATATATTTTAACAAACTTTCTATTATTGCATATTTTGGTTATTTCTAGTTTTGCTATTATAAATAATGTTTTGATGAACACTTTTGCCCATAATTCACCATGCATAACTGTGATTCTTTCCCTTGGATAACTTTCTAGGTGTAAAACTGCTGAGTCAAATACAAAATTTTGATACATATTACCAAACTGCCTCTTAAGAGGTTGTAGCAAAGAAATTCTGATTTGGATATTGAAGAAATTATTTCCCATGAGTCATAAAGTTCTAGAAAACTAGATTTAAAATAAGTCTCAGTGCAACTAGCTCCCAATTAACTGTGTGTACACTATTCTTCTGTAGACTATCAAATGCAAATATACTTCCTTCTGTTTGCGTCGTGGCTGACATGGTTCTGAGCCATTTTGACTCTCCACAAATGAGTGTGTGCCCAGAGAATGGACCATGCAGGAAACTAAAAATAAGCCAGAAGACAAGCTATTTTGGAAAACAAAGCTATCAGAATAAATATGTAATACAGAGCAAGTAAGTTGTGGATTATCTGTCAATTTATCTTTCAATAGCTCAGTTATTAAGAGCTAACTATTTTGATTTTAACAATTTACTGTCAGCAAACTACATTTTTACACTTTATTTATACTTACAGTTTTGTCTTTCACATTCCAAAACACAGCAGCTCCTTCCCTGATTTAAAAGAATGAAAGAATCAACTAAGTTAAGGGTGGAATACAAGCTTTAAGGTCAGAGATAAAGCTGCCGTGCTTAGGGAACTTCTTGGATGTATCTGGGACGCAATTTTTAAAAATAGGATTTATTGACTGATCTGACATCATGGTCCCTAGATGGACCTCCTAAAATAAGAGCCACTTTTTTGACTCTTGACAAACGCTGACCTCTCAAAGATTCAATTTCTCATGTGATTTGCAGAAATAACTACTATTGTAATAAACTATATAACTTCACGTATCTAGATTGTTTCATACCTGTTCAATTCTGATGTACAGAAATCAGAATAAGGAAATTTTGTGAGACCCCGTCTTAGCTTGCATTAGGGCAGAGTCTGCTATGGGAAAAGAATAAAGGAGCATACTTTAATAGTAGCAGAATGAAGAGCATGAGATAAACTACAGCCTCAGATTGCTGAAAGCAGCTATGGAATAATGCAACCTTACAGTGTTTCCAGCAGAACTATGATGAAGCCGTAGGAGTCCCTCCGAATCCAATTCTGGCTGTGACAGAATTTAAGACCTCAAAACTATAAATGCACTTGCTTTATTTGATATCTGAAGTTTGATGCGTTGATCTGTTTTAGGTAGTAGAGAAAAAGAGATGTTACAGCTATGAGCTATGCACTGGAGAAGCGTAGGTGGAAAGGAAGAAGGCTAAAAACAGGATGGCCCCATGGCATTCTTTAAACATTTCTTGAGCAACATGCTTAGTACATGTATGGGTCTGTGCTTAGCATTGGAGAAACAGACGAGTACAGTCTAATTCCCATCCTCAAGGAACTCCCAATCTAGAAAAGACTGACACTGAAACCACCGACTGCAAGAGAACGTGACAGACGCTGTAACAGTTGCGCAGAGCGCACCGTGGGATGCCCAGCAGAGGGACACCTATCTTTCAGGACCAGCAGAGGGAGCCCAGTGAGTCAACGAGAGGAGGCAATACAGTGAGGCAGAGGGCACAGCATGGGCTCCAAGAGGAGGTGCAAGGGAGCGTGGGCAACTCGTGGGCAGTAAAATTAGAGAGGCAGGCAGAAGCCAAACACTGAAGGAACTTTATGCTGTGATAAAGCAGTCTGGTCAAAATCCATGGAATTTTAAACAGGAGAGTACAGTGACCAGAACTACCTATTACAGTTACCCTGCCTACAACAGACATACTGGTGATGGAGGGAGAAGGCAGGCAGGGAGACCAGTTAGAAAGGTGGTACAATTGTCCAAGGTAGGGCCTGAGGGTATGGATTTGAGAGGCACTTAAAGCCACAGCCAGAGCATGAGCTCAGAAAATCACTTCCAGGTAGAACAAAGTTCTGGTGACTGTGCACCCCTGTCTAGAGCTGTGCTGTGCAACAGGGTATCTAGAAACCCCATGTGGCGACTGAGCATTTGAAATGTACCTAGCCCAAACTGAAAAACGCTATCAATGTAAAATGCACGTCAGATTTCAAAGGCTGAGTTTGAAAAAAAGACTGTAAAATATTACATTAATTATTTCTATATTGATTACAAGTTCAAATGATATTTTAGATATGCTGGGTTAAAAAACATTAAAATTAATTTCAGGCAACCTGTGATATTATTAACAGGGCATTAAAAATTAATTTCATCTTTTTTTTTTCAATGTGGCTACTAGAACACCTACAACTACATACGAAGTTTGCACTTGTGGTTTACATCATGTTTCCACTGGACGGTGCTGATCTAGAGGCCCACAGAAACCCAAATACCTCACCTGAGTCATCAGGGACACTACTAACCTACTTGGAATAAATGTGGAAATCTTGATTACCTCTAAATTTAAGGTCAAAAGAAAGGTGAGGCAGTAATAGAAACAAAGACAGAGCTTCCAGTTTTCATCAACTATTAGGACTAAGACCACAAAAACTTTGTAAAAGTCTGGATTATTATGGACATTCCATATGTTTCTGTTCTGCTGCTTATTAGCCACAGGACTATGGGTGATGGACGAATCATTCTGACCCTCAGTTTCCTCAGTTGCAACGTGGGAATAAAAGACCTTCATCAAGTGTTGTGAGGATAATAGGAGATTATTTTATGTGGCTTCTATCATCAATTATCATTCCCAGTCAGCTACTCGGTAGAATTTGGTACTAACCCTGCTGCCGTCAAGTCGATTCTGACTCACAGTGACCCTGTAGGACACAGGAGAACTGCCCCATAGGGTTTCCAAGGCTGTAATCTTTATGGAAGCAGACTGCCACATCTTTCTCTTTCCCTTTAAATAAAAAGTGAGTCAGTCAGGGTGTTAATAGGAAGTCTCTGGAGAGGGAAGGTAGAATAAAATAGTAAAGAGTTACGGAAGGAGAAGAAAGAAAAGGAAGAAAATGTCAAGGGAGAAAAGACAGCAGGGGAGGTGGCAGAACTCTGAAAAGGGGCACTGAAGATGAACAGGAAGAAAGACGCCTTCCATCAACTTAGCAGATGAAAACCCAGACTTACAAATAAAGACACATACGGGGGACGGTTATTTACTTGTTTTACATTGTCTTTGTTTTAAAAGAAATAAAGGCGATTTACCAGAGGATTCCTAAAACTGGCAAATTCTCCTAGATCAAATAAGAACCCCATGGCAAAAATTCTAATCAAATAATTTTTTGAACATGTGTACTGTTAAAAGAGATACACACTTGTACCTTTAAAGACCACCATTACCTGACCATGAACACTTCTCCTACTGGGTCTTTTCTTGTCTTACCTGAAGAAGAATACTGTTCCAGGATCACCTTCTTTTGCAGAATTTTCTACACCCATCACCAAGATATTTGCTGCATCTAACATTTAAAATAAAGGAAAGAAAAGCTATGCCACAAGGTGTAAGAGTCATCCATAAACATGATAATCAAGTACCTATAACCATTTCTCTACACACTGTAAGTGCTACATACACAATGCCTATCCTTCTACTAAGTTTTCAGAAACTATTTAAAGTATGAAAATGAAAAGACCAGAAGAAATTACCTTCACAAAACATTCACACAACCTGTGATATTATTCTGGAGCCCTGGTGGCACAGTGTTTAAGAGCTCAGGCTGCTAACCAAAAGGTCAGCAGTTTGAATCCACCAGCCGCTCCCTGGAAACCCTATGGGGCAGTTCTACTCTGTCCTATAGGGTCAATATGAGTCGGAATCGACCCAATGGCACACAATTCTATAATATAAATTAGAAACAATATATTAATATATCAATAGTAATATGTGAAAAGTTATATATAATTTTTAACTTAAAATTAGCATCCTCAAAGACTCCAAATACTTGGTAGACGCTGGGAGAGAGAGTGAAGGATTTGGATACAGATCAAATCCTAAACTACCTATTCTGCGTGAACTCTAACTTCCCTATGTACCACATCCTACGCAGGACAAAGTTCACCTATGTAGCCAGAAATTCAAAAAACCAAACCTGTTGCCGTCAAGTAGATTCTGACTCATGGCGACCCTAGAGGACAGAGTAGAACTGCCCCAAAGGGTTTCCAAGGAGTGGCTGGTAGATTCGAACAGTCGACCTTTTGGTTAGCAGTCTGAGCTCTTAACCACTGCACCACCAGGGCTCCACGTGGCCAAAAGCAACATAAAATAAACGGGAGAAGACCCAGGGCGGTGAGAATGGCACACACAAGCCCGATTCTGCAGCAGCTAGAGCCACATGGCTGACAACGTTTAGCATCAGACAAAGACCTCCCTGAGTGAGCAGTCTGCCATCCTAGGGACTCTGGACACAGCTGTTCTTCTAAGTCAGGTATGTTTGTTTATGCCAACGAATAACAAAAACGGTCTATTCAGGTCATCACGGCTGAAAATGCACAATGACATTTCCACTATATCTCATGGGGTCAATGGGTTCTGTAACAGGTTTTTGTCCTGCTAATTTTGCTACTCTGAAGTAAATTTATAAATTTTCTGGGTAGTGGGCAATCCAGCTATCTAGAGTTTCACTGTAAAATTTTCTTCCATCAAAATGTTCTATACTATTTATTTTCTGATGTAATTCTTGTCATAGACTACTGCCTGATACTATTCTAAAATCCTCAACTAAGTTTTGGTTTTCTTCTTTTTTGTGCTCACCTTCTATTTCAATTAATTTTATTAGTTTTATAGTAGGATTGTAATGTTAAACACTTTATTTTTTTTTTTAAAAAAAAAGGCTCTACAAATCAGTCTAAAAGAAACGCAACCAGAATGCTATTTAGAAGCAAGGATGGTAAGACTTCGTCTTGCTTACTTTGGACGTTCAATCGGGAAAAATCAATCACTACAAAAGGACATCATGTTTGGTAAAGCAGAGGGTCAGCGAAAATGAGGGACACTTTCCATAAGATGGATTGACACAACAGCTGCAACAATAGTTCAAACATACCCACGATTATGGGGATGGCAGAGGACTAGGCAACATTTTGTTCTGTTATACACGGGCTCCCATGAGTCAGTGCCAACTCGACAGCAACTAACAACAACGGAACATTTCGACCAATGCCGTGGTTCTTCTGAAACACTAAAATAACTTTTCAAGGTGACAGAAGCGGAATGACATGGCCTTTGGGCATACCAAGTAATGCTGTTGTTGTTGTTCTGTGCTGTCAAGTCAGTTGCGACTCATAGAGACCCTACAGAGCAGAGACCCTACAAAGCAGAGTAGAACTGATCCGTAGGGTTTCCAAGGAGCAGCTGGTGGACGTGAACTGCTGACGTCTTGGTTAGCAGCTGTAGCTCTTAACCACTGCGCCACCACAGTGATACTATAAACAAAGTTTAACAATCATATTGATTTGAATCTATGAGAACTAAGCTCTCTGTGAATACATTTGAAATTCTTCATATGTCATTTGTGTAAAGAGATTCAACATCATTTTTACGAGACAATTCTTCAAGTGAAAAATAAAATGCAAACAAGTGTATATTTAAGACAGTGTCATAGGAAAATTATTTTCTAGCACATTTTCACATACTTGGACCCAGGTTCAAGAAGATGTACCTCTAGGCAAACTCGTCACTTCAACATATCCATGGGCAGTCAAATCTTGGGAAAGATTTCCAAGATGGTATTCGTCTGCTGTTGCGAATGCTGTGCAGTGCATCAGGTCCTGTTCCAATGAGATCAACACAAGACTGAGGTGTCTGTGACATCTGCTGTCACTTTACAGGACTCAATTTTGCAAAGATAGCACTTGAAAGAGTTTTCTTCAAACATCTAAAAGGCTGATACAATAAGGATGAACTGAAAGACAGATTTCAGCTCAACATATGAAAGCACTTGCTATTGCTAGCCAAAAAACGGAATGGGCTATCCTGAAAGCTGCTCTCAACTGGTAGTATTTCAAGCACAGACTGAACAAAAGATGTAGAGAGGATGAAGCCATCATACAGGTACCTGGATGAATAGATATCTAAAGTCTGTCCAACCTTGAGTTTCTATGAGGAAGAAAGTTTTTGTTTTGATATTTTAATTATTCTTCTGATTTATTAAAGCTGTACGTTTTAAAGCCTTGTTTTATTAAAGCAACAATGTTTTAAAACAAAAAAGTAAAATAGCTTTTTCACAGCAACATTATTATTTGAGATGATTTTATAAATTATCACTGGCCTTACAAGGCAACTATAAGCCTCTGAAGAAATTACCGTGTTTTTACTTTGGCTTATATTCAACAAAAAAGCCTGTACACCTGAGAAAGTGCGCAGGTTTGGTTACTGCTTTGGCCCATGTACCGTTAGTCTTGTCTGTGTGTACATGCATGTGTACATTCGTGTTGTGTGTGTGTGTCTGTACTACACATAGCAAGCATTTATGACAGTGTTTTTTTCATACAACCCATTAGTGAGTCCTGATACCAATTCAGTTGGCCAAAACTAGGGTTTTTTTTTTTTAAAGGAATAAAATAGAAATTATTACAGTGCATTATTCATAGTAAGGGTAAATGTTATGTTATGAAAGTAGCGCCTCACTTATGCCCATACACGTACGTAAACCAGTTTACAATGTAAAATATATTTCTTACTATGGGCTACGGTGAAAAAAGTTTGAAAGCTACTGGCATAACAGTTAAGAGTTCAGGTATATTATTTAATTAAACATTTTTTACAAAATCAGGATAAAAATAATATCTGCTTTATAAGGTTGTGGGGTTTAAACAAGGTTAGAAATGTAAACAGCTCAGGACAGTTGCTGGTGTGTTGAACGTTTGTTACATTATAGTTACTATTATTGCATGTCCACAAATGTTTAAACCATAGAAGTTTATGGGTGGTTGAAAAGTATATTAAAAGTCATTTTCATCTGAATTTTCACAGGTTCATCTTTTTGTTTTTTAATGTCTACTGGTCACACTATCGGTGATTCTAAAGTCTGTTAATAGTTATGGTACTGAGGCCCACAACTGGCCAAAATAAGTTTAAGTCACTAAAATTAAAACACATTCCTAGAACTAACCATCTCAGCTCCCAAACGCTTTCCCTTTCAGTTGTATTCCTAGTCTGTAATGCTACAGACGTAATACATTGATCCCTGACTTTCTCCCACTTCTATATCCTAACTCCTGGCCCTTTCTCAAGGAGTGGCTGAACGCTGCTTTGCCTTTTCCTCCATCTGTTATGCTGTTTTGATCAGGGGCTTTGAACTCATTCTAAACTGTTCAGTCATGATCCAATCTCCCGCATCAGGAAACTTTCAGGAGCCTGATGCGGAAGATTGGATTACTGGTGGGACTTTGGAGAGCGACACACATTCAAAGTGGCGCAGCGGGCCGCCATCTTTGAGCAGGGCACTGCTGCCTGTTTCCTATTTGGGACAGAAGCCAACACAAAAGATTTGGTTGCTATGTAATGCATATGCTGCCCTTGTTTTCCTTCAGTCATGACTGAACTGCTTCAAACTGGTTCAAAGCTCTGCCTTGTTTCCAACGGCCACGGCTGAACCATTTAGAACCAGTTTGAAGACCTGGTTTTGACGTACAGTTTACAAACTAGCAGACGGATAAACAGAGGACATAAGACAACACACACAGACTAAAATATCAAAAATCAGTAAAATGCCCACTAATAAGCAAATGATTTTAATTATGGGAAAAAACGAGGATAAACGCCAGACAAGCTGACATTGGTGGGAAACGTGAGAATAAAATGGATATAGTGCCCTCCTTTTGCAGATATCTGATAAACTAATTCCCAAAGTCACAGATGCAGTTAAAAATACACTGAGATACAGAGAAACATGGATCAGTAAAGCGGAAGCACGGGTGGCTATCAGAGGACAGGAATTAGTAAAGCGCTTACGGTTGAGAACAGCAAGCATTGCCTGTTATTTTAAGGCTCTATGGAGTTAAAAAGAACTGACATGACATGATTATAGAGATTAAGCTGGCTGAGAGACAGGAATTTGCTAAGACGCACCAGGTAAGGCCACAGGAGGCAGGCTCTACTACCAGAGACCTGACACATTTGCTGAAGCTTGCTAAGGAAAATCACACTATATCAGGCTGGATGTCAGAATTACTTCTGTGCCTGCTACAGCTGTTATGCTTAGTGTGGGCTGAATGGGAAGAGCAGGAGGCATAAGAAGAAGATAGGAGATGAGGAGAAGGTCAAAAGCTGGTCTAGTGAGAAGACAGGCAATGACGAGGTCAAAAGCTGGGCCAGTGGAGGATCTTTCTATGCTGTCCTGAAAACAGGAGAGGCTGTCTGTCTCTGCAATCAAGGTTGTAAACTGGCAGCCCACAGAGCCAAGAGCTGACTTACACAGTGGCTTTAACATTTAATTGTCAATAATAAATTGAGGGACTTCACATCAAATCCAAATCTCCCCCATCTTTTGATCAGCTGAAAAATCTGGCTATAACCGCTTGGGACTGGGCAGGGGGCCCGGGTTCTTCAGCCCACACAGTCCCCACCATGCCCTTCTGTCCCGTGTCTGTCAGCTTCACTACCATTTATGCTACTGGCCAGGTCCACGTAGATATTTCTGTAATCAGTCTGGCCGTTTTCCATTTTGAAAACTGTGATAAATATATATGTAACAAAACATTTGCATTTCAACTTTCTCTACATGTACAATTCAGTGACATTAATGATGTCTATTAGCATAGAGGTATTTGTGTCTCTGCTCTAAAAATTTAAACTGTTTTGAAGTCTCAAGAATGGGACAAGGCAAGGCATTCGATCACTATTTCTATGAGAAAATGTATTCTGAGTTCCAAATAGATTGTGAATAATCTGTTTTTACTCTGCCATCCCAAGGATCTTCTTTGTAGATTTTCTGAAGGTTGTCACCTTTCCTTCCCTCAGCATTTCCTATTTAGTTTGGCTCAAAGTCCTCTCCAATGTCACAGAGCTTGTATGGTTTGCCCAACGACTTTCACCATCCTCCTTAAGCAGCTTGGATCTGTGTCTCTGTTACAGCTGGTTCTATCAATAAAAGATTCCCAAAGTTTTTTTTAGACATATCTTCTGGTGTTATTTCCTTTTAAATTTCAAGTTTTTACTTAAGCCCATGTGGTAAAAGGAAGAGGACCACAGAGTGTTTTGTCTTTGAATTTTTTTCCAATTAAAGAGGTTGATACTTTGTGAGCAGCTCTCATTTTCATGCATTTTTTTTCTGGATTTTTTATAGTGAAATCATGATTTATTAAGCATTAACTCTTATGTGAAAGCAAGTTTCAGGTTTTAGAATGGGGATCAACAACTTTTTCTTAAACAGATGTGCCAAACCAACCCAAAATGATTATTGGATTTCAGGCCTAAATTTAAGCCTTTCAGTTTTAAGATGTTAAAAACAAATGAACAAAACCACTGCTTCCGTATGTGTTTCGCTTTTCTGGCCACAGAAAAAAGTTCCAGCAGATGGGGCCAGAAATCTGTGGAAAATGGGAAAACAGCGAAATATTTCACTATGAATGCTTCTTGTTTTAGTAGCATCACACATTCTGACGGAACGCTTCTCTTTAAAAAAAAGAAAGTTTGTTTTTAGTCAGCCTATTATGGAAGACGTTTTGCATAGGATAGCAATCATGTCTCTTATTACTAAGGGAAAAACTGCCATTTTTTTCCTATGTACTGATTGTAGATGAAAGTTATAAAACATTGATGTATGTTATTATCATAAAATTTAAACTAAATTTTTACTAATATAGTGCATTAATCTTCAGGTTTTTAGTCTAGAGCCTATGGTGAGAGATCATTTTATAAACACAGTACATATGTACATACGTGTGCATCCGGCAATGACTGAAACAAAAGCTTCACAGAACAGTGTATACCTTAATCATGAGCAATGTATTGATATTTTCTATTCTATTTCTTTTCTTTTTTTAATCTATTAACACTCCACTAGTTTATTTTAGCAGCCCTGGTGGTGCAGTGGCTAAGAGCTCAGGCTGCTAACCAATAGGTTGGCAGTTTGAATCTACCAGGCGCTTCTTGGAAACCCTACAGGGCAGTTCTACTTGTCCTATAGGGTCACTATGAGTTAGAATCAACTCAATGGCAACGGGTTTTTTTTTTTTTTTTTAGTTTAGTTTATGGTGTTATGACCTGTCATCTGAAAAGGGGCTTCTACCCCTCCCCAGCTTATGGTGTCCCATGCTGCTCTGACAGTGGTTCTCACCCGCTGGCATCTGCTGAAACACAATGCATTACCAACAAGAAGCAGTGTCACTGGTCTCATAGATTATAAGCCAATGCGATGTGGGCTGAATAGCCCAGTAGGTTAAGGTCTCTGCTAATGAGACCAGGTTAAAGACTTAATTCGAACCTAGAGGGTGATTTAAACTTCATTCAGCCAATTCCAAATGCATGCTGCGTGCCAGAGGCAAAAGGATGGGGTCAGGGGCAAGTGTGGGGACAATACAGAGTACACAGGCTTTCTGATACAAAGCAGAGTCCTTCCATTGTCTCAGTCAAGAGTGGTGTAAAGGGTTATACTGTCACAAAGGATTCACTACCCCTGTGGCACCCATATGGAAAAGGAGTGACCCTCAATCTGGGGCAGATAAAAGCCAGTCTTCAGCCCTGGGTATACATTCACTGGTCACGTCACGAGACTTTTTCCTCCTATGAAAAGTAGTATCAGAAATTAATGTTCCCAAATTATATTACCTCAGCTCACTCTAGAAGTGCTTTCAGAAACATCAGGTTTTCCTATGTTTCTCTTTTCCACAGACATCCCACTGAAGTCAGCTGCCTTGTTATATAATGTCTCCCACATAAAGACCCATGAAATAACTGACTCCTTGGATGCAGTGATGGAAAAAGTTATTTCTCTTAAGACTTTTTATTTATTTATTTTTTCTGTATCAGAAAACAAGAAATCCTTCAATCTTTTTTTAATTATTGGGCTTCTCAGAACTAAATGTTCAACTAGATTATTCATACCAGGTACCTGATAACATTTATTTCTCCATTCATGTCCATTTTTTGCTCTATCTTAAATGTGAATACTTTTACTGTCTCATTTAGTACTATACTGAATTTTGAAAATCTACTTCAAATCTTTTCCTGGAAGGAAGCAGACAAGAAAGTCTAATGCAAAAAGATCTAAAGAACCCACTGCCGTTGAATTGCTTCCAACTCATAGTGACCCTACAGGGCAGAGTAGAACTGCCTCATAGGGTTTCCAAGGCTGTAAATCTTTATGGAAACAGATCGCCACATCTTTCTCCTGTGGGGTAGCTGGAGGGTTCGAACCACTGACCTTCTGGTTAGCAGCCAAGCACTTCACCACTTAACCACTGCGCCACCAACCTGTTAAAAAAAACCTGTTGCCACGGAGTTGAGTCTGACTCATAGTGACCCTGTAAGGACAGAGCAGAACTGCCCCATAGGGTTTCCAAGGCTGTAATCTTTACGGAAGTAGACTGTTACATCTTTCTCCTGTAAAGCAGCTGGTGGGTTCAAACTGTTGACCTTTCAGTTAGCATCCAAGTGCTTAACCACTGTACCACCAGGGCTCCTTAAAGGAAAATAAGATAAATAAATGGCATTCAGGAAAATTGCTTTCAAATGTAAAGACAGGCCAAAGAAATAATCCCTCTTTGATGGTTTATAACCACTAACTACAAAAAAAGTCTCTGTAAGACACCTGATTATGCACTTGCTGCTAGATACAGCAAAAGAAAAAATGAGTTGGTCTTTCTCTTTGGATCTGCTATGAGTTCAGGTACATCATACTCAATTTCATCTCAGTCACTTAACTACTGATTTTCCCAGACTACCACAAAGCTGAACAATATAATTTAAAAATCAGGATGTAGGTAGGCGACACTAATGAGAATGGCTGAACAACATGAGAAACATACTAATTGTACATGTGACGAATATTGAAAAGGCAAATGATTTGTTACATATATATACATATTTTTTAACCACAATTAAAAAAAAAAAACCAGGAGTGAGGAAGAAGAAAAGGGTGAGAGTGGCACACTGCAGAGCACTTCCATCCTCTTCATCCTGGGTTCAAAGACACCGTATAAAAACTTAAACAAAACTTGAATCCAAGATAAAAATAATTAATTCCTAACTTCATAATCTGATACACAATGAAGGTATGTCTACCTTTTCAAAGGAAGTCAACTGCACAGTAAAAAAACCAAACAAACAAAAAACAGCCAAATTAAATATGTTCAAGGTCTACTTCTCGAATCAAGATATTAAAAGACATACTCTAACCAGTTTTCTGACAGGCTCAGAAGGTCGAATACTGTTCCCTATTCCTATTTTTTAATGTTGCTGACTTTAGACACTGATGATCCCTTAACCTCTCTTCTGTCCTTTCACACCTTTTAGCCTTCCTAGGTATATGCAAGATAAAAAGGTTAAGAAGGCTTGATCCTGGTCCTTAAACCGTTTATCATTTACAGAGGAAATGCAAACTGTTGCTGAGAAATTCTCATAGCCTCTAAACAGTGAATAAAAGTACCCCCTTCAAAAGACTGTTGCTGTTAGCTACCAGTGAGTCGGCCCCCAACTCATGGCGATCCCAAAAAGGAAACACTGCCCGGTTCTGTGCTATTCCCATGAGCAGCTGTGGATCAGACCGTTGTGATCCATAGGGTTTTTTTCTGGCTGATTTTTGGAAGTAGATTGCCAGACCTTTCTTCCTAGTCTGTCTTAGTCCAGAGGCTCTGCTGAAACCTGTTCAGCATCATAGCAACATGTAACCCTCCACTGACAGATAGGTGATGGCTGCACCTGAGGTGCACTGGCCTGGAATCGAACCTGGGTCTCCAGCATAGAAGGTGAGAATTCTACCACTGAACCACCAATGCCCTCCCTTCAAAGAATAAAAAAGCAAAAACCCTCTGGCTGCTTTTATATTCTACTTTGTCATGTCATTTCACCATCCATCCCAGGCCCAGTAACCATACACTAATGAATTCATACCTGTCTGTATAGTTATTTAAAAAAAAAAAAAAACACCTTTTTTTTCATCTGATGAAGAATCTCTACAGTTTGATTTTTTTAAAGGGTGTTCTGTACAGTACCATTCCTAGACTGGACTTCATACTTGTCCTCTTATATAAGTCTCCATAGGCCAACAGCTAATGAAAGCTTTCATAAACTGTATTTTATTGCCTATATTATGTTTCTATCTGTAACACTAATTCCCAAAAATTAAGGTTTTGGTTCCCTTTGGATATAACAGGTTTTACTATTAGGCTTCAAGGATCTTGACAAAAAAAGTTATGAGTGGGTTGCCAGTTCTCTTACGATAGCAGGAAGGCTCTGGTAAAATGGATTGCAGCTTAGAGTGTGTGATCATCACTAAACGGAAGTAGCACAAGCACGTGTGAGTTTACCTCATTCACGGACAGCACAGGAAGGTTGGTCCTGGATGGCTGCTTGGTCCTGGAGGCTTTCAGTGGTCTCTTGATTTGTGGAAAGTCTTGCTTTGGGACAAGTGTTTCCGTTGACACAGATGAATAATGCTTCTTTAAGATTTTTATAAACCACTTAGAACCCAACAGATTTGGTTTGTGAGTCACTTTCCTGTGAATACCTAAAGATTTCGTGGCTGGAAGGTGTGCTTTTTCATCCTGGCAACGTACAGCATTTATTGGAGAAAAGATACTTGTATTTGATATTTTCTGGTTCATTTCCAAGATCTGAGACTTATTCAAACCATGAACTGCTGTATCAGGAAAGACCAAATCCAGGTTTTGACTGATTGCCAGAGTGCTGCCTGCTGTATTTTCACATTTCTTCAGTGGTTTTAATGTTAGATAAACAAGTCTTCGGCACTGATATGCTTTTGATAAAATACAGTGAGATCTGACCAGGGCTCTCAGCAGTCTGGCTGGCATCACCACATCGTAAGCTAAAAGGAAAGGAAGGCAAAGTTCAAGTTTTGTTTCCCCTAATGTTTTGAAATATAATCTTTCTCTAGGTAATAGGCATATTTCTGTAAAACATCATTTGTAGAACACATACATCTTAATCCAACTCTAGTAAAAGAATGAGGTTAAACAATAAATACAAGTGTTTGTTCCACTTTTCCTTTAGTCAACTTTTGGCCCCCTTTCTGGAGGATTACAAGAGTGTAAAGCTATTGAGATAACAAAAAACAAACCAACCAGCTGCTGTGGAGTCCATTCCAACTCATGGCGACCGTATGTTACAGAGTAGAACTGCTCCATAGGGGACATGACAAGCACCTTAAAAAGTAGTAACAGAGTGAAGGGGGGAGGAGAGTCTCTTTGTTTACTTCATTAGCATATCAACTATTAAAAAAAAATCTTTTACTTGTCAATTCCTTTAGTCAATGCTTATTCAGCTCCTACAATGAGATAAGCAGTGAACTGGGGCCAGGGATGCAACCCTGTGAGAACAGGGTCCCTGCCTTCATGGTGCTGTTGGTCTGATGAAAGAGGCATTTCCAACAGGTCACTGTAATTCAGTGACTTCGGCCCTACACAGAACTAAAGTACAAGGTGCTAAAGAAACAGACAAGGAGCTCACCTAACTCTACAGGAAGAATCAGGAAAGGCTTCACCAGAAGATTGAAGCTGCTTTTTTAAAGGGAAGGTGATTTTCAGGTTACACACACACACACACACACACACACTCCAAAGGAAATAGACTGTATATGTAAACCACTGCCCCCTTATCTGCAGTATAAAATATTTGTTTTTTAAACTTATAGCAGGCAACTGTTGTGTGCTGTCAAGTGGATTCCAACTCATAGCGACCCTACAGGACAGAGTATAACTGCCCCATAAGGTTTCCCAGGCTGTCATCTTAACAGGACCACATCACCAGGTCTTTCTCCCATGGAGCCGCTGGTGGGTTTGAACCGCTGACGTTTTGGTTAGAGCCAAGCACTTAATCACTGCGCCACCAGGGCTCCTTAACAGACAATTAATAGTAGTAATTCTCTAAAAAAATAACGTTAGGTGCTAGAGATACAAATATGAGTCAATGATCTCAGAATTCACAGTCTAGTGGGAGAAACAGAATAAGGGGATAAACAGTGAAGCAGAGATATGCACAAATTGCTGTGGAGACAAGAGAAGGGAGCATCTGGGGTGAGGTGAGGGTCAGGCATGTTCAAACAGGTGACATTTGCACTGGGTCTTGAAAAGACAGAGGCATCAGCAAACCAAATACCCAGGTATACAGGATTACTGATCTGACAAACAGGGTGCAACTCCAGGAAAAGGGGGAAGATTGAAAAGGAGCCAGACCACAAAAGACTGACAAGTGATGTGAAAGATTTTCCATAGGTAGGGGGAAGCCAGAAGCTTTTAAATGTGAAGCTCACACAATCAAATAGGATGTTTGAGAAGCATACTGAGGTAACAACTCGGAGTAGGGACTGCGAGAGACTAAAATATGACTGACCGAGTACTTTCAGCACACCAAGGGCTGCTCTGCTTTACCTCACAACAACGTCATGGGGCATTTTACGGATGAGGACACCGAGACTTGAGAAGCTAATCAAATTGCTCACAGTTGCAGACTGAAGAGATGCAATCTGAACCCAGGCTTTTCCAATTCCAAAGATAACAGTCTTAACCATTCCACTATATTACCTCCCTTAAGAGGATAAAGGCAAGAACGAGTCAAAGAAACATTTAAGAGGTGGAAACCTGATGCTGCTTTCTATCTAGCGCCTTCAAAATATCTTCAAAAGCTGGTGTCCTGGTGGGGCTGTCACAGCACAGGGAGAGCCACCAGGGTCACATAACAATGTATGGATAAATGCTTGTATGAGAGACTAACTGGAATTGTAAACTCACTTAAAACACAACAATTAAAAAAAAAAATACATGATTGTAAAACACAGAGTGAACCCCGTGATGAAAAATTTTGGAAATGGATAATGGTGATAGTTGCATAACATGATAAGCCTAATTAATGTCCCTGAAATACCCATGTAAAAAATGTTGGAAGTGACAAATGCTTTACTTTACATACATATAACATGTATATAATTTTATTAATATATATACTACATACAACAATAAAAGAAAGTAAATCCTAAAAAAAAAAAAAAAGTTGGTATTCTGTATTTAGTTCTAGTCCAATTAGCTACTATAGTTCACCTTTAACTAGCATTACTCCTTGACGGCTGAACCAATGGGTTTTAAAGAATCTAATTATAAAAAATTTTAGGAATTTGTATAAACAGACTTGAATTCTACATTCTCTTCTAGGAGATTCTTTACCTTCAAACTCTAAAGGCTGCCTTAATATGGAGACTATGTGAAGCACTATTAATAAGAATGTAAAAATGATGGAAAAAGTAAGAAGTGTACTCTCTGTATCTTTGCTGAGAAAGGAGGCTGAAGTGTAGCATTTAAAGTGTTCAGCACCCCCAAAATATTTAGGCTTTGTTAAAAATCAGAACACATCTCAGGAGAGTGAAATTTTAATTGATAAAACTAAATTTAAAGATTAAAAAAAGTATAAGAGATTTTTAATTACCCTAACAGCTTTATGTAACGTTTTTGGCACTGAGGTCAAATACTCTCTCTGCATTACCCTTGTTGTAATTCTTGACGGTTTCTACATCCATGTATACCAGTGGTAGGGATGATTCTTTGTTCCCTGACCTCCTCTCCCCAAGTGAACTTGTCTTTCATCAACCTCAGCCACTCACTTCCACAGCCATATGCTCTGAGCTATACAATATGGTAGCCACTGGCCACATGTGCTACTGAGCGCTTGAAATGTGGCTAGTACAAATTGAGATTCGATTAAAGAAAAGTGCAAAATACCTCAATCCTTATATAGGTTACTTCTCAAAATGATAATATTTGGGGATATACTGGGTTAAAGAAAATTCATTATTGAAATTAATTTCACCTGTTTTTACTTTTATTACTATAGTGTCTAGAAAACTTAAAATGACATATATAGCTTGTATTATATTTCTATCAGACAGCACTGCTCGAGACCCTGTCATTACCAGTAGCTACAGCCCTTCATAATCTCAATTTCAACCATTCGACTCTCAAGTACGGAGCCCTGGCAGCACAGTGGTTAAGAGCTTGGCTGTTAACCAAAAGGTCTGCAGTTTGACTCTTTCGGTTGCTCCTTGGAAACCCTATAGGGCAGTTCTACCCTGTCTTATAGGGTCGCTATGAGTCAGAATCGAATACACGGCAGTGGGTTTGGTTTTTTGGGTTTTTACCCTCTAAACACCACCTCCTACTTTCCCTGCATACTTCTTCTACTGCCCAATGCCAACAATTCTTCAATCCCAACAGAACCTACAATTCAATGATCCAAGCACCTTTTCACTGTCCTTCATTCCATGTGACTTCACTTCCTTCCATATCCAGTTTACATTCCACAGTCTACTATTATCTCTCCCTCTCTCTCATACAACTTGAATTCTTTGTGCCCCTCTCTTTCACATACCCACTTGGTGTAACCTCAACCCTAATTAAATATAACTCACCTAATCTGTACCTGTACTCCTGCAGCTGGTCTCACTTTAAAATCATGACCACTAACTTCACGTGGGCCTTTCATGCGGCTCACCAATCTTACTACATTTCCCTACTAGGCTCTACTCTCTCCTCAACCGTTAGGGCCTCCTCCTCGTTCCTCCTTTTCAATACTGACCTTGCTTCCTTTTCATTGACAAAACAGAAGAGAACTTTCACAAGCTCTCACTATCATCTATCTGCCCACCTACTTCTTCTATGCCCATATCTTTTGCCTTCCCTTCTGCTACGGATGAGTTGTCCATGATCCTACCTAGAGCCAAGTCCTCCACCTGTACCCTTAATTTCATCTCTACTTTCTGTGCCATTTATTTCCCCCTTTACTGGAACATTCCTATTATTACATAAACATGCTATAGTTTCTCCCATCTTAAAACAACTCTCTCCTGATCCCATCTTCCCTTCCATATATCACACCTTTTTTCTGTACTCCTTTCCAATAAAATTCCCCTAAAAGGAGTTTTATTCACTGTCTCCAATTCCTCTTCTCCCAAGGCCTTTGCATTTCCTATAATGCTGTTGTTAGTTGCCGTTGAGTTGATTCCAAGTCACAGCAACCATGTATGCAGAGCAGAACTGCTCCACAGGGTTTTCAAGGTTGTGACCTTTTGGAAGCAGCCTGCCAGGCCTGTCTTCAGAGGTGCCTCTGGATGAATTTGAACTGCCAACCTTTTGAGCACAACCTTTTGGCTAGCAGTCGAGTGCTTAACTGTTTGTGAAAGTCTGTTGGCCTCCAATTCCTCTTCTCCAATTTCTTCCAAACTCACTCGGATCAGGCCTTCATCCCTATCCCTTCACCAAAACTGGCCTGTCAAGGTCACCAATGGCCTCCGTACTTCTAAATCCAATGGTCATTCCTCAGTCTTCATCTTACTTGGTTTATCAGCAACATGTGATACAGCTGATCACTCCACTCTCCTTGGAACACCTTCACTTGACTTCTGTGATACCACACTGGAGTAGTTTTCCTCCTACCTCACTGGTGGCACCTTCTGTTTCATTTGCTGGTTTCCATCTCTTTTAGAGGGCACCAAGGCTCACTCTCTGCACGTCTTTTCTTCACCAGCTCAGGCTCTTGGCAATCTCACCCAATCTCATGGTTTTATGTACTGTCTATACAGTGATGAGTATCTATTTATCTCTAACCCACTCTAACAAGCATCAAAAATGTAACATACTCACAGCTGAGCTTCTGAAATTTTTCCACAATACCTAGTCTTCCCACAGTCTTTCACATTCACGAAATGGTAATTACATCCTTATATTTGCTAAAGCCAAAAACCTAGAGTCAGCCCTGACTTCTCTTCATTCCCATATCCAATCTATCAGTAAAACCCATAGGCTTTATTCTGACCAGTTCTCACCACCATACTGCTACCACACTCAGCCAAGTTACCATCTTCCCCAAAGATTATTATAACAGCCTCCTAACTGGTCTCCCTGCTTCTGTTCTTGGCCTCCTACAGATTCTTCTCAACACAACATCCAAAGTGATCCCTTGAAAACATTAGTCAGATCATACGTTTTCTCTGCTTAAAACTTGACAATGGTCTCACATTTCACACTAAAAACCAAAGTCCTTAAGATGGCCTATAAAGTCCTACATTATTTTGCCTTTGACATCTTCTACAGCTCGCTCTCTCTTGCTCATTTTGCTCCAGCCACTCCAGTCTCCAGATCTTTGCACTTACTGTTCCGGTGCTCTTCTCCCAGGTATCTATAGGGCTCACTCTCTCACCTCCTTAAGGTCTTTTCTCTAATGTCTCCTACTCAGTGAAGCTTTCTACAACCACTTCATTTAAAATGCACAACCCGAATCCACTCTTTCTGCATTTTATATTTCTCCAGTGTATTTAGCTTCACTTTTACGTCTTGTATTTTTATTGATTCATACAACAAATATGAACTATGTGCCAGGAATTCTCTCAGTTGCTTGAATGCAGCTGAAATAGACAAAAGTCCCTATCTTTTGGACCTTATGTTACACTGGAGATGACAAACAATAAATATGCTCTATCAGTAAAACATATATAAGATAGTGACAAATGCTAAGGGAAATAAATAGAAAAGAATAGCTTTTTGTCTATGCTCCTCTCTAGAATGTATGCTCCTTGAGGATAGATTTTTTTTTTTGTCCATTTTGTTCATGCTGTACTTCTATGACTAAAACAGTGCCTAGCACACAGTAGGCACTCAACTGGTATTTTCTGAATGAAATATAAGGTGGTTGCTCAGATCTAGGGTAAATGCTCAGCTTGTAAAGAATACTAATTAAGAAAATGTTTCAACAAATGAACGCAGCGCTGGAGGTGCTCACTCATCAGTATCAAGAAATTTGGAAGACAGCTACCTGGCCAACCGACAGGAAGAGATCCATATTTATGCCTATTCCCAAGAAAGGTGATGCAACTGAATGCGGAAATTATCGAACAATATCATTAACATCACATGCAAGTAAAATTTTGCTGAAGATCATTTAAAAGCGGCTGCAGCAGTATATCAACAGGGAACTGCCAGAAATTCAAGCCAGATTCAGAAGAGGACGTGGAACCAGGGATATCACAGCTGATGTCAGATGGATCCTGGCTGAAAGCAGAGAATACCAGAAAGATGTTTACCTGTGTTTTACTGACTATGCAAAGGCAATCGACTGTGCGTATCATAATAAATTATGGATAACACTGCAAAGAATGGGAATTCCAGAACACTTAAATGTGTTCATGAGGAACCTGTACATAGATCAAGAATCAGTCGTTTGAACAAAACAAGGAGATACTGCGTGGTTTAAAGTCAGGAAAGGTGTATGTCAGGGTTGCATCCTTTCACCATACCTATTCAATCTGTATGCTGAGCAGATAATCCGAGAAGCTGGACTATATGAAGAACCTGCCATCACGACTGGAGGAAGACTCATTAACAACCTGCATTATGCAGCTGACACAACCTTGCTTGCTGAAAGTGAACAAGAGTTGAAGCAATTACTGATGAAGAGCAAGGACACAGATTTCAGTATGGATTACACCTCAATATAATGAAACAAAATCCTCACAACTGGACCAATAAGCAACATCATGATAAACAAAGAAAAGACTGAAGTTGTCAAGGATTTCATTTTACTTGCATCCACAATCAACACCCATGAAAGCAGCAGCCAAGAAATCAAAAGACGCACTGCATTTGGCAAATCTGCTGCAAAAGACCTCCTAAAAGTGTTGAAAAGCAAAGATGTCACCATGAAGACTAAGGTGTGCCTGACCCAAGCCATGGTGTTTTCAATCGTTTTATATGCATGTGCAAGCTGGACGAATAAGGAAGACAGAAGAAGACTGGACGCCTTTGAATTGTGGTGCTGGCGAAGAATACTGAATATACCATGGACTGCCAAAAGAAGGAACAAATCTGTCTTGGACGAAGCACAACCAGAACGCTCCTTAGGAGCAAGGATGGCGAGACTACGTCTCACGTACTTTGGACAAATTATCCGGAGGGATGAAGCCCCGGAGAAGGACATAATGCTTGGTAACGTAGAGGGTCAGCGAAAGAAGACCCTCAACCAGATGGACTGACACAGTGGCTCCACCATAACAATGATTGTGAGGATGGTGCAGACCCGGGCAGTGTTTCGTTTTGTTGTACACAGGATAGCTTTGAATCGGAATCGACTCAACGGCACATAACATGTTAATGAGCTAGGTTACGATTCAACGGATAAGTAGCACTAGTTTTTGGAGCACGCCTTCAAGTTCTTTAAGCTTAAAATTATTCATGTTTGCATTTATCGCTATTCACTGGCTCAAAAAGGAGTTCACTAAGTCTTTATTGAGCGCATTTTACTCGCAGCTAAGTCGACCAAAGATCACTGTCAGAAGCAGGGAGGGGGCCATAGCGGTGCAGGTGAACTTGTGATGCAAGAGTCTTAGGGCAGCCAGGAGCAAAGGAGACCTCTGTCCAGGACCACACAGGCAGCTAGGGAAAGGCAATGCACTAACCTCTCCGCCGGAAGAGAAGAGGAACGGCCAAGGGCGCAAGATTCCGCGACCAGACCACAGAGGAAGAGACAGAAACGCAGCAGCGGACTCTCGCTCCCCTTAGCCAACCCCACACCGGGAAAGGTGTTCCGCCCAGCACCCGACTGCGCAGGCGCACAGAACTCCGGGCAAGGCGGCGCTTGAGCCGCCCCGTCCACGTGACCTCCAGCCCACGTGACCAACTGCCGCAACATTTTCCGCTCCCTAATGCCGGGTACCCCCGGCCCAGCTGGCTTCCGCCTTCCGCCCGCTTCCTCATACGCTTCGCGATTCGCGTTCCATTGTCCCCGCCTATTTCACCGGAATGGAACATCTCCGCCTTGTGCCGCTAGTCGCTGTTCGACTTCGTTAGGGCATCGAATAAAGTTTCCTCATTCAAAAAAGCATTTTTTTTTTTAAGCCCACACCTCTCACGCTTTCAGCTCCTCCTTCGCGCCGGCACCACCTCGCTTCCTGCGGCGGTTAGAAGCGAACGTTGGGGCCGGGAGCGCGGAAGGTGATGGCGGGGTCTCCGGTGCCTCTCTCGGGACAGGACGTGGGGTTCGTCTCGCTTTCCTCGCCCAGTCCCTCCTCTCGTTTTTCTTCTTCCCATTTTACAGAAAGCCGGGCCTCGCCAGGAACCTGTGGGTAACGGGCGGGTGAGCCACCCTGGCTCCGCTTCCCAGGATGCCTTGGGTTTCGCAGACTCCGGTGGAGGCGAGAGCGAGGCGGCCACTTGGAGTGAGTGGCAGCTGTGGCTGCTGGGTCAAGACTGGTCACCTGCAGGCTCTTCATTGCGGTGACTCGTGCTTTTCCAAGTGACTGCCCTGACTACACCAGCACGGACTGCTACCCCCAGTTAAAACTCTGCAGTTACTACCCACCTCTCTAAATAGTGATCATTCAGGCGGTTTAATAAGCTTATATTAATTTGTGTTGAACAGTTTACTTAGTTATCTTTAAAATGATTTGATACTGTGTTTAATTCTCGCATGCCTTTCTTGAAAGTTTTATCCCCCTTCCGCACCGTTTCAGAGTCTTGCAGAGCCTGGCTTTAATCATGTTTCTTTCAATGAACGCAATTATGGGGAGCTGAAATTCTCTGTAGAAAATCTGGGGATCCCAGATCTATCCAGGAATGTATTTCTTCTTATTGCTGATCAGATTATTGAATTATAGCCCCAACAATGAAAAAAATGTCTCTTATAGATGCCAGATAAAGTTGTGGATGAACGTAAAAATAATATTTAGTGGTATAATTTGAAGGGCCAGGTGTATATTTGAGATACGTCCTTAACCAAACGTACTGCGAAAGACAAGAACATTTAAAAGAGAATGACCTTACCCTGGCGGGGAGTAGGATGAGAGCCCAGAGAGGTGCCGATAGCATTCAGGATCGTGTGTATCCTGAGTGTATATGTAAGGAGTGAGGGTCTCTTTATAAATACTGCGCTCCAGGCGCCTCCTGCCTCATTCAGACTCTCGACCTTACCCTGGGGATACAAGCCTCTGTCTGAGAAAATGTAATAGTTCGAAAAATAGTAATAGTTTCCCATTTAAAGTAGAATGTCAAAGAACTGTCACCTCTTTGTATCTGCTGCCTGGAAAAATTCAAGTATCAATTGATTTAAGTTAATGATCTTTCCCTTGAATATAGATGGAGCCTGCAAACCCTGGTGGTGTAGTAATTAAGAACTAGGGCTGCTAACCAAAAGGTCGGCATTTCGTAATCCACCAGGTGCTCCTTGGAAACCCTATGGGGCAGTTCTACTCTGTGCTGTAGGGTTGCTATGAGTTGGAATTGACTCCACAGCAGTGGGTTTGGTTTTGATTTTTATAGATGGAGCCCTGGTTGCGTAGTGGTTAAGAGCTCGGTTGCTAACCCAAAGGTCGGCAGTTCGAATCCACTAGCTGCTCTGTGGAAACCCTGTGGGGCAGTTATACTCTGCCTGTAGGGTCACTGTCAGTCGGTATTGAGTTGATGGTAAACGAGTAAGAATATAGAGAAGAGAGAAGCAGTTTCATAAATGTTTAATTCTTTGTTCTGGGACCTTAGAGTTTTTAAGATCCTTTTAATGAGCCAGTTTTGTATCCAATGCCTCACTCCCCTTTCTAAGTAGGTGAAATCACTTAGTGAGTAATAGGTTTGGGACTAGAGGCTGTTTGGATTTCTAGGCGAGTCCTTTTTCAATTCTATCACACTGTTAAACTAGTTTCTAATTCAGGAAAATAAAAAGAATACAATGGGGAAAGATAAGAATGATTAAACAGACTCTAGGGGAGAATCTGGGATTAGAAGCACAAACTGCTTGTCTTCTTTATACACCAGACAAGTTTTCAGATTTTCCTATATCTTAATATATTTGTGAGACAGTGCTGGTTTACCGTCTAATAGTTGTTTGAAAGGAATTTTAATTTAAATGAGGTGTTCCAAAAACTAAAAGATGACTAATCTAATGTTAATTCTACTAAGTGATAATATTGTGTATGTGGTGCTCTTTTCTAGATCATTTGCATATCTTACAATTAAGGACAGAACACCACAGATCTTAACTAAGGTTATCGATACACTGCATCGGCATAAAAATGAATTTTTTGAGAAACACGGAGAGGTAAGGATGGTGCGTGTGTGTTTCGTTTTTTTACTGTGGTAAAATATATATAGCATACATTTGCCATTTTAACTATTTTTAAGTGTGCAATTCGGTGGCAGAATTTCTGGGTGGTACAAACGGTTAAGCCTTGACTACTAACTGAAAGGTTGGCATTTTGAACCCACCCAGAGGTACCTCGGAAGAAAGTCCTGGTGATCTGCTTCAGAAAGGTCACAGCCTTGAAAATCCTATGGAGCACAGTTCTGCTCTGCAACACATGGGTTGCCATGAGTTGGAATCCACTCGATGGCAACTGGTAATTATATTTACCGTGTTGTGCAACCGTCACCAGTATGTATTTCCAAAATTTTTCATCACCCCACACAGCAACTCTGTACCCATTAAGCAGTAACTCCTCATTCCCCTCACCCCTGCCCCGGGTAACCACTAATAAGCTTTCCTTTCTATGCGTTTGCCTGTTCTAGATACTTCATATAAGTGGGATCATACAATATTTGTCCTTTTGTATCTGCCTTAGTTTTTAGTGTAATGTTTTCAAAATGTATTAAGAAAATTATAGGTCTGAAAGCAGGGACTAAATTCCCTTAATATCAACATTGTGATAATAATTATTTTTTTAACATTCAGTTTATTTGTTACATTTTATTCTCTGTGTGTCTTATTAGGCTTAAATTGCCCCCCCGCCCCGTTTTTTTTTAATGGAGGAAGAATCTTGCTGGTGTAAAAACAGCATCATTTTTCCTTTATTCTGATCCCATAGTATTTGTCCCCTCTCCAGTTGGCCTGTTATGTGAGATAATACCATAGCACTGGCCTTGCAGGGCATCCCATCTATCTGGAACTCAGTGGAGAGCAAGGAATAAAAAGAGTCTCAGAGGTGCCAAAAGAAACCCCAGGAAGGCCAGCGCCCCTTTACTGGTGGTGTCACTGACAAAAGAAGATTTGGAAGCATGAAAGATGGAAAATCTGGTGGGTGGTTGCTTTCCCTTTTGTGATAATGGCCACCCACCTAAAGATAAAGAAAGGCCAGAATTCTAATTCATAAGATAAAAAAAAAAAAAAAGGCAGGATAGATAAGATAGGATTATGTTGATATGAGATCTGTATGTGTTCTTTGAGTTTCAACTTAAGAATTCTAAAATGTTTATAATAGTTTGTGACAAACTTAAAGTGTAGTTTTGAATTGTGGGATTTTTTTTTTTTTTCCTTTTTAAGTTTGGGTCCATAACAATGTGTTACTTGAGAGGAATTATTCATATGTATATGACTGTCACATTTCTACAGGAAGGTACAGAAGCTGGAAAGAAAGCTATTTCTCTTCTTTCTAAATTACGGAATGAATTGCAAACAGATAAACCGATTGTCCCTTTGGTGGAGAAATTTGTTGATACTGACATATGGAATCAGTACTTAGAATATCAACAGAGTCTTATGAAAGAAAGCGATGGAAAGCCCAGGTGGTTTCACTCACCGTGGTTGTTTGTCGAGTGCTACATGTATCGCAGAATTCATGAAGCACTTACGCAGAGGTGAGTATGTAACCATCAAATGACAAATGTTTAGATAATGTGTGCGGTTTTAGAAATTATAAAAGGATAAGTTTAAAAATAAACCCGAGCAGAAGCCTGAATTCAGATCAGCTCAGGAAATATTAGTGGCCCCACTGGACGTTTCAGCAAATGTTACAGATAGCATAGATTCTTGGCGGTTATAATCTTGCTTCCGTAAAGATTACAGCCAAGAAAACCCTATGGAGCACAGTTCTTCTCTGTAACACATGGGGTCGCCATGAGTCAGAATCAGCTTGAGTTGTCTTTTTTTTTTTTTTACCTAGAATAGCCATACAATTGAATATCTGAAGTATGAACTAATTAAAAATTATTACAAAGACTTAATACCTTCATTTTCTTTTAGAGTAAAATAAGTTATACTTACGGAGCAAAAAATGTTACTTTGAAATTATATATAAGAAAGATCAAGATCGGAAAATGTAAGCGTGTTTTGTTTGTAAAAATAGATATGTAAGAATGAATTTGGTATGAGGAGTCAGTCTTCAGTGAATCACCATGTTGTTTTATGCCCTATCTTAACGAATCCTTAGCCCTGTTTTTTTTTTTTTAACAGCTAGATTAGAAAAAGGAGCCCTGGTTGCACGGTGTTTAGGCACTTGACTGCTAACCGAAAGGTCGGTGGTTTGAACCCACCAGCCACACCACGGGAGAAAGATGTGGCAGTCTGCTGCCGTAAAGATTACAGTCTTGGAAACCCTTTGGGGCAGTTCTGTTCTGTCCTATAGGATTGCTATGTTGGAATTGACTTGATGGCAATGGGTAGATTAGAAAAAGACTCTTAAGAGTTAAACGTGTTCCAAAATAACTTTTTATAAGCTTGTTTACACTAATTTAAATTTTCCTAGGAAAATTCTGATATAAGCAGCAGAAAAGGTAATGTGAATTGTCCTTTCAGCTCCCATGTTCCAAAAATACCGGCTTGCTAAATAAGAGGAATCCTTTGGTATCTGTTCCTGAATATAGCATAGGATAATTTAAAGTGATCAAGCAGACAAGCACTAACAATAAAATAAATGATTTTGGGTAACATGCATAACTTTTGAGTCTGTCTCAGTCTTTTAAAATTTTTAAAATCACAGCTCGTAGTTGTTGTTTTTGCTGAATAAATGTGTTTTAGAACTGCTCTTAAAGCAAAATACACTAAAAAATCTAGCACACCACCTGGCACACAGAAGGCATCCAAGCAAAAGACTATACTGCTGTTAGTTGCTGTCGAATTGGCCCCTGATTCATGGTGACTCCATGTGTGTCAGAGTAGAACTGTGCTGATTTTTTGGAAGTAGATGCCAGGCCTTTCTTCCAAGGCACCTCTGGGCAGACTCCAACTCCAACTTTCTTTCGGTTAGCAGCTGAGTATGTTAACCTGTTGCACCACCCAGGGACAAGCTAATACTAGAAGCTGTCCTGTGTTGAAACTAGCTATGTTCCAGTTACTGCACAACTTTGTGACACGTAGGTATTATTAGGGTTTCCATTTTATAGTTGAGGAAATGGGGGCTCAAAGAGCTTAATAACTTTCCCATGCAGGTAAGTGGTAGAGTCAGGATTTGACTGTGTAAAACCTGATTAGATAGAGCCTTTATCAGACCATCCTTTTGTAAGAAGTGGTTGGATTTGGATGCCTGTCAAGGACAAAGAGTCATCTGAATTTCTGGGTGCCAGTTTCATAATTTTGGAAAAGATCAGTGGTATAAGCCAAAAGCTGCTGAAGTGTTGAAAGACTGGGTGGCACCACGGACAGGTTTAGTGGAGTTTGGATGTTAGAGAGGCAAAAGGAATGCTGTTTCTGAGTTTGATTTTAGCGATGGATCCGATTCAGAGAATACAAAGTCCAGAGCTGAAATTCACAGACCTCAACGCACATTTACAGTGATACTTTATTTTATCTGAGGGGGCCTGGGCATCAGTTTTTCTTTAGACGCCTCAGGCAAATGCTACTGCACAGCCTGGGTTAATAACTACTGGTCCAAGGAACAGCTTGTTGAAAAGGGTGGCGGCAAAATTCAGCGTTATTAGCCATGGAGGTAGAACTCTCCCAGAGTGATTTCTGTGGCAGATATTTGAAGGTTGGGGATTCTTGTTCTCTTGTGCTAGGACCCAGGTTTCAGGTGCGTACAAGGAAGAGCTGTCCTGCAGCAGAACTACCACACAAATTGTTTTCAAATGTCTGTTTTCTCAGGGCTCTTGTAGGGGGGATTCCTGTCCTGGATCAACAACCACTCCAAAGTGACCAAAGAAGGGTCTTGTTAACTACTGTAAGATCTGAAAGCACACATTAACTTTAAATATGCTTAAGTTATGTTTAAGGAACCTGTGTCGCTCCACAGAAGAAAGGCTTGGAGATCTGCTTCTGTCGAGATTATAACCAAGAAAACCCTGTGGAGCAGTTCTACTCTGTAACACGTGGGGTCGCCATGAGTTGGGCAGACTCAACGGCAGCTAACAACGAATTTTATGTTTATGTTGATTTTGCCCCTTATACTGAAACATACTTCTAATTTTACTTTCAAGATACTTGTTTTGGTTTTTATTAGAGTTAAGTAGATGAATAGTCTGTTCTGTAAGTATAAATTAAGATTCAAAGTTTTAACTCTCAAAGTCTACTTTTCAGCCAAAGATTAGACAGGCCTGTAAAACAAACAATAACACATGTAAGGCACGTTCTTCTTAGTTCTATCAGGTATAACCAAATGGACTCTTTAAAACTTTTTATTAAGGTGTAATATGTAGATAGAAAAGTGCATGTCTTAAGTACACAGTTCAGTGATTTTCAAAGAACCCAGTCATGTACCCAGTGCCTAGATCAAGAAGTTGAACCTCACTGGAACCCAGAAGGCCCCTTTTATCTTCTTCCAGTTGCTACCATCACTGCCTCTCAAGGAGAACCAGTATGCTGACCTGTATTAGTTTTGCCCATTTTAAAACATTAAATAAATTTTACACTATGAAGTCTTGTCTGGCTTCTTTCACTCAACATTATGTTGGTGAAATTCATCCACATTCTTGCATGTAATTATAGATCTTACATTTTCATGGCTGTGTAGTATTGCATTATATGAATATATCACCATCTATTTACCTATACTATATTGATGGATATTTGAATAGTTTCTGGTTTTGGGTTATTATGATGAGTGCTGCTGTAAACATTCTAACACATGTTTTTAGTGAATATGTGTGTATTTCTGCTATTTATATGCCTAGGAGTGAAAGACCAGGTCGTAGTATATCCACATATGCAGCTATAGCAGATTCTAAAATAGCAAATAGTTTAAAGTCAGAAATTATAGTTTTGTGAGTTTACTCTCTTGAATACAAAAAGTAAGGCTCATTCTTAGTATGGAGGTGTGGCTTTAAGCTAATGAATGATTTCTTAATAAAACACTAGAACAGAGATTGGCAGACTTTTGATGTAAAGGGCCGGATAGTAACTATTTTAGTCTCTTTGGGTCATGTAATTTCTGTTGGAGCCCTGGTGGCGCAGTGGTTAAGAGCTCGGCTGCTAACAAAAATGTCAGCAGTTAGAATCCACCAGCTGCTCCCTGGAAACCCTGTGGGACATTCTACTCTGTCCTGTAGGGTTGCTATGAGTCAGATTTGAAACGACGCCAGTGAGTTTGTTTTTTTTGGTTAATCTCTGTTGCAGGTACTCTAC